TTTGAGAAAGCAAACTGAAAGCATAGGAAATAACAGTGGTAAATCTTAGATTGTAGGATAAAAGAAAGAGTTCAGAATCAGTAGCTTGGGTTTCATACTCACCAAGCTTCATCTAGCAGAGCAATAATACCTCCAGGTTTCTGAAGAACACAAAAAGGGAAACAAACACCAAAAATGAGCATACGATAATAGGAGATCACAATTGTTGACTGTGGAGAAAAATGGTAATAGTGATGGCTTGGTCGCTTTAAAGGTATCGTAAGACTATTATGAAAAAGCTAACAGCTCCAAAGAACAGTGACCTTTTCTATTAGGTCTAAAATATCTTGATTGTCTACGAACTCTATATAGCTCCAGTTGATCTCCTCCTTCTTATATTCCTCTTGCTCCATTTTAAAGACATGCTGCACAGAAAGAAGTAACACACCTCAGAACAATGGGCACTAAAGAATTTAGAAAAGACAAATAAATGAAAAGTGAAAGAGCTTCTTCTAATCAAACCTGATTAAAATGCTGTTGAAGTTTTTCATTAGTCAAATTGATGCAAAATTGCTCAAAACTGCAATAAAACTTTCGATTATAAGTAATAGGCCAAAGAATAACAAGAACCAGTCACGAATAATTTTTTTTTTTTAAATTCATCAGTGGCATTATATATGTCTACATATCTAACCGCAAATCTCCTTACAAAACAAAGTTAGTCTCCTTACAGTTTGATAGACTGTAAAAATATCTCAACCGTCGATGGTAGAAACAAGCACTAGCTTAACTATCAAACTGATCAGACCCATATATTATGGTGAAGTACCAGAGGTCGATCCCCTTTATTAAAGAAACCCATCTAACTAATAATGAAAACAACAAGCATACCACTTAAGCACCTGTTTGTCTTGAAACTCTCGAATCCATAAATATCAAGAACACCAATCAAATACTTCGAATCAGGATCTTGACCAATTGAGCTATTTATCTTGTCAACAAGCCTGCAAAGACCATAAAGGATTAGTATATAAAATGATGGCAAAGCACCTTCGAGGCTTATTTCTTCAAATTAGGAGAAGCAACTATTGAATATCTTCATCAAGCTATAATCGAGAAACCCACCAGTCAAACAATCTTGAGTACATGACTTTAGCCAAAGCATCTCTACTAAGAGTAGCAGCTTCCGGATCAAGAGTTTTAGTGATAGTTTCATCGCGAGTTACCATGATACGCTTGCACAGAGAATCCTCAAGTGCCTTTTCATCACAGCTGGAAAGGAAGACGATATATATAAGGAAATCTACTTCAGTCCAAAATAGAAGAAAAAAAACAAAACCAACATTTTCCGCTCTATTAGCTGAGGCATTTACCTGAGAAGCTCAGCTGCAGTCTTCAGATGAAACAATGATTTATCATCTTTGGGAATCGATGAATCAATCTCTGCTCCCTTAGCAAATTCAACATTCCCGAGATGGAGAATAGCCGCCACGACGCTGAAAATCGCATCCTGAAACAAGATATCAGTAAAGTAAATAATCTGTTTACAGAGACACTATAGCAGCTCTGGCTAAAATCTGACGGATGGATTCTGTGATGACTACCTGCTCCTCGGTACTGATCCCGACGACATCCATAGCCCGTCTTGTGGCATGATATTCCTCCGCATCATTTATACTATCCAACTCTAGACATTTAGACTGATTGAGATAGTGGTATGTCTTTGGTTTATCCAGCTTGAATTTCTTCACATCCTGGTAGTAAAAAACATCATTTCAGAAAACAAGATATGTATTCATATGCCAAACAAGGCTCAGAAACTCGACATGTATCAGCAACTCGATATGTATCAGTGTTACATACTACGAAGTAAATTACAAAACTTACTTCTTGTGGAGCAGCACAAAGCATGTAGAAACAGTGATAGTTTCTTTCAGGATCAGAGACCTGGCAAACACGTGATCTTTCCAACAAATACGTTCTTATGGCAGCTCCTGATATCCTTCCCTTTTCATCAAACTGAATCTCCACGAATTTACCAAAACGACTATAAAGTACAGAAATAAACATTAATAAAACACCTAAACCGGCAAAGAAAATCTCAACTAATCTAGATGAAAGAATGCTATAGAGATATGAGGACACTATGGTACCTGGAATTATTGTTCCTGACAGTCTTTGCATTTCCAAATGCTTCTAAAACAGGATTCGACTGAATAAAAGACACAATTGAGAAAGCTTATAAGAACCGGGTCAAGGCAAGTAAAGAAAAGAAAAGATCACTATCATTTGCATAAGGAAGTGAGCATATAGCTGCTGATTATTCAGGTTTCCTTAATGTAGATGACTACTAGCATTAGTTTTTTGAAGTTTCAGTTGTTTGTTCACTCTACAGACACTCGTGAAAAGTAAACTCAGCCGAAATGAATATTTGACCATCCTCTGAAGTCTAAAGTCTTAGTTATTTGTCCACTCATCTAGAAAACAGGATTTGACTAAATGAAAGTATAGATGATGGTGTTTTTACCTCCAAGACTTTCTGTTCAACACTTCTTCCCTCAGCAGCAGCTCTACCTCCCATGTAAGCAAGATATCTCATAAGCAACTTTGTGCTTTCAGTTTTACCAGCACCACTTTCTCCACTAACAAGAATAGATTGACTTACGCCATCATTAATCATCTGTCTGCATTAGACAAAACGAGAATGCAGGCAATGTCACATACGCAGATCAACAACAACAACAAACTTAAAGGTAATATACTTAACCAGAATGTACGAATTACCTATAAGCAGCATCTGCGACAGCGAATGGATGTGGACTCAGCTCCCCTAAGGCAGCTCCTTTATACTGAGCCATCATATGGCTACTATACAGATGAGGAAGTCTTCTAAACGGATTAACAGCAATCAGTATGCTTCCTGTATAAGTCTGGAAGTAAATAAAAGTTCAGTCCACACATATCTAAAGTACATATACATATTCAAAACCCAATAGGAGGGGACTATAACTCACATAAATCTCATTTATATCATATCTTGAATGCAAATTCTGTAGAACTCCGGGTTCGTGCAAATAAGCAAGTCTTGTCATGTCGTCCACTCCAGATGCTGGCGCCTCCACGTCTTTAGGATAAGCATTAGATATTTTCGTAACAACCTGAAATTTTGCCAAAAATAGGCAAAATCAAAAAAATAAAACGGCTTTCACAAAAAAGTGATTCTAAATTTACATGAGAAGAAGAAGAAGAACACATACATGTTTCCCTGACGTGCATAGGACTTTGATCTCGTCGCCATTAACCTCGACAACTTCACCATCAATCCATGCTTCATCAGGATCCTCCACCCACACAAACGACCCAACTGATGGATTGAAATTAGCAACCTGTGAAAATACAAAAGAGTGTCAAAAACTCAAAATGCCTTAGCTAGCAGCTCTAATGTATACAAGAACTGCCAAATTCATTTAGTCTACTCTTGATGACTAAAACACATTACATAAGCCATGCTTTTGAAACCTCTCAGCTAATATAATGTCTCACAAGATTCTCACATTTACATTGCAGCTGCCATTACATACAACTATAGCCCAAAAGAATCTAAAAAAACCAAGCTGGAGGAACCAAAAATCAAATCCTAGGACAATGTTTTCGTTGTTACTAATTCAGACTATAACAAAAATCACATAAATTGTCGGAAAAAAAAATCAAAAGGAAATGAAGATTCAAAAACAAAGATTTAAACCAATTCGTCAAACAAAAGTCCTAGTTTCAAGTCAAAATCTCAGAAGTCAGCAGTACAAAGCCATGATCCCAAATTAGATGATCCAATCAACTAATTTCCCCAAATTAAAACTGGATTTAATCCCAAAAAAAAAAAAAAAATTGAAAACATTACCATTTCGTATCCGAAGATCAGAGAGTTGTGGATCTAAAGATTGAAGCAAACGAGAGCTTATGAAACTTTCCCGAGTGAAGAAGAGCTTTGAAGAAACTGAGATTTGTTGGTGGAAGAAGACAGAACCAAAACTTTGCAAATCTAAACGCGTTTCCCCCTCGAATTATTTTGAGTATTAATTTTTTTTTTTGCTTTGCTTTGCTTAACTTTTTTTTTTTTTTTTTTTGGGTTTTGCCTTTTTCGTGCCTCCCTCCTCTCTTCCACCTTCTGTGGGGAGATGATTTTGGTCTGAATTGTAAATTTTTTTACTTTAATTTTTTCAATTAAGACATTGATTAAGACCAAAATCTTAATCCCGAAGTTACCCTTTGATTTTGTATAATCACGGAGCTAGGTTTTGTTCCCGACACGCTAAACCAACTTTGTCCGCTCGCCGAAATATATTTATTTCTCCCAAAACTATCTGAGATTTATTAATCTATTTCTTCAGTTCTTAATTAGTTGTGTAGTAAAGACTAAAGATTTTAACAAAATTATTTACACCAGAAATGAATTCGACAAAAAACTAAAATAAAAGTAGACATCTACATAGATGTTACAGTAAATACTTTCAAGAAATAAATATCAACCAATAAAATTTGTACTTTATAGTTTTTAATATTAATTAACCAAAAATACATTGAAAATCTAAATTACAAAAAAAATTTTTTTTAAATAAATAGAACCATCTGTATCAGAAAATGGTTTAATAATTTCTTGTAAGAAGTAAACAAAAAAAGAAAAAAATAATGAATTATTTAATATTTTTTTCAGAAAATACACGAAATTTTTTCGTTGAAAGAACAATACGCAAACTAAAATATACAAAATGTTTACAACTGCGTTAACGTCGTTAAAAATCGTAACAAAGGTATGTAAAGAATTGGAAAATTAAAATAGTTTATGTATTTTTACCTCAACTATAAATTAGTTCGTGTAATTTTTCTAAAAAGTAGTACATTTCTCTGATAAATATCAAATAAATCATGTTTTTAAAAAATATTTCTAATTATTTGTACCAAAAATTGTGAATATTTTTCTGTTTGGTACTTTGTTCACATGGTACACGTAAAGTAAGACGGTGTCACACAAACGAGAATCTGACTTGGCATTTCTCGTAACATACAATGATACAATATTTTATTTTTCATTTCATTTTTCATACAAAATTATATACAGACGTTTTTATAAGACTTTGACTCTATTGAGACGTCAAGAAGACTTAGAAAATTTAGACTACGGTCGTGTTCCAAAGAACGTTGCAAGGTTTGGATCACTACGAAATGGAAGAGTTGTTCGAGCTCCTAAACCTCTGCAGCAGCAAGCAGCCTACACAAAATCTCAAAACGCAAGCAAATCCTTCAATTTGCAATTTCAGATCAAAACGCGTTATCAAATAGCGTCACGATTTTTAAGTCAACTTAAGCAATTATGTATAAAACAAAACCAAAAACTTACGACTCGAGTTGCAAATGTCAACATTTCCTCTAGAGCCATGTCTGTGCACAGACCTGTGAGAACGTAAAGATTGAATGATTGAGTAGGTTTGATTAGGTTTTAAATGTGTTTTGGCTCAAAACTTGGTTTAGTTTTACCATAAAGCAAAGCTCCAATAAAGGCATCTCCGGCTCCTGTTGTGTCTATAAGCTCTGAGGAAGGTATTTTCTCAGCTGTTACTATAACCAACCTCCCTGTAACATTCCCTGCCAGTCTAGTCACTAGCTGAGTATGGTAAGAGAAATGAAGATATATATATTCATTAACAAAAAAAAGTGGAACTTGTGAGAAATTATGAATCTTTAAAACGTTTATTTACCGATGAATTGCAGACCGGTAAGATACTTGTATAGTCTGTGCTTTGCTTCAGAGACTCGTGTAGTTCATCTATGTCTGTTTCTTCTTCTGAACCTGAAATCTCTGTTGATACAGAAAGGGAAGAAATGTTCGTTCATACACGAGAAGTATGTTAGCATGTACTTAAATTTTGAATGTTACATTGACCAACGACAAGCCTTATACTCAATTACACATACGTCTTACTTCTTCATAAGCTCGTTTTATAAAGTTTGAGTACTACCCTCATGGTTATGATATATTTATATAGTCCTAGTGTCCTAGATATGTCAGATTCAATCATCTCCTTCTCATACATATTTGAAAAGTATAAAAACTGAAACACCAAATGACCAATTATGGAGAAAGAACATGATATGTGGTCCTACTAAGTCAAAAAATTGTGATCATTGGATGATTGCAAATAGGGAAATCGAGAATTAACTCACCATTGGAACATCGCTCGAGCATCACACAACCGTGTTCCCCCAAAGTCATGATCACAAATTTTAGCTTTGGTAATCTAATGAGCATAGAGAGAAGTGCACTGGGAGATGATGGTGACTCTGTCCAATCCTGTTTTTCCAATCAATCATTAAGGATTATATACAGTGATTATACACCAACACAATTCTGATGCAAGAACTTGTGTAACTAGTAACAAACCCTTCATCAGGTGTCATAAAGAGTAATCGAGCCATCTAGTTCAGCAGAAGTACACCATAGGTTCATTTTAACTCATAAGTTATAGATTCCATATAATTCAGTTTCTTAGAAACTTAAGTCACTCTTTATAACCACAAAAACCAACATTTAATCCTAGAAATTGATTTCGCTAATGATATATGAACCAATGGATCCATAGGTTACAGAAACGTTCTGCGAACACTCTCACCTGAGGGAAGTTTGTAGAGCAAACAGCATAATCAGCTAAGTCAAGAAACTCGTTAAGCCCTTTCCTTATTTTCTCCGCATCAATTAATATTGAAATATTCTTGCTATGTGCCTGCATAAGAAAAAATCTCTTTACTACAAGTTCCCAGTATAGCATGATGTGGTATGCTCAAACTGAATCAGGCAAAACAAAGCAGATTCCTAACTAATCATTCCCGACCAAAAACCATAAATGAGTGATGAAGAACTGTAGTGATAGCAAAACACACCTTTTGCGCAAGAAGCAATTCGGCTTCACGGGACCTTCCATTTACATACAAAACTCTAACTCCATCAAGCACAGATAAAAGTAGAGACTCAGTAAGGTCATCTGAGAGCAAAGGAGGATACCCTGGAGTGTATATACACGTACGCGTATTCCTAGAAATTAGTTATACATAAACTTCAAAATTCGATAGAAATGTATTATACAGCGCATGCTTTTGTCCTATATATCAACATTGTATGATTAGCAAAATGGAAAATCCAAAATTAGAGATCACAGAACCACACAACAACAGCTTAACTTTACCCACGTTTGGTTATCTACAATGATGTAATTAAAATGTGAAGCTCCATCTTTAGCATTCTGAGAAGATGGAAAACAAAAAAGAGCTGTAGTTTTATTATATCATCTACATTGAATTGATATACATTGTCTCAACTATTTATCATGAACTTACCAAACAAAACGAAGTATCCACGCCGCTAGACTCGAGTTCCTCTAACATATAACGGCCTTGAGAATCATTAGCAACCTAAGAAAAAATATCTTGTGAGAAACACAAAATCTGTATTCCTGATTCAAAGGACTACATTTTCAACTTCCAAGTGTAAAAATTACTACAATTTTGACTTTTATTGCCACTACTCCGCAGGAGATTTTTACGAATTAAGCCGTGCTTTAATCGTTTAAAACAACATTTCTAATTGCAATATTTTCAATCAGGATTTTGGCAGTGAGTTCTACACTAAATCCACAAATCCGGAACTGTACCAAAGACAAAACGCAAAGAAGTTGTAATAATATGACCTTAGCTAAGATTCGAGAAGGCAAACCCAAACGAGCAACACATGTTAAAGAGTTGCCAGTGTTTCCACCTCCTTGGACCTGAACCAAAAAATAAAAAACCATAGAAACTAAAAAATCAAGTCAACGAAGAATCAACAACGAAGAGATCTTGTAATAGACCTTGGAGCTAGTGCACCGGATCTTCTGATTAGGAATTGGGAAAGACGATACTGTGGCTAAGTAATCGAGACAGAGTTGACCACAACCAAGCTACACAGAATCTAGTTTAGTGTTTATCAATTCAAGAAAATAAGAAGAGAGAGAGAGAGAGAGAGAGATACGTACGACGACTGGTTGGGTCGGGGTTGCTTCGTCGGAGCAAGATGACATAATCGGAGCTCCGGCTATGAGTTGATTTCGAAGTGGGAGGGAGAGATGGCATGGTATTTTTATAGGAGACCAAGCTTTGGTTTGGTTAGACCGTAACCAAACCGAGTTAGATTAAATCAAACCGGGTAAATTTTTCTTTTTCTATGTTGGTTTAGTAGAGAGTCTTTTATGGTGCAATGTCTTGGACATATCCTACAAAACTCTTTTTTTTTTTTTTTGTAGTTCATGGAAGTTACATAGTGGAATAGAGAAAATTATTAAAAATACTGTGACTTATTTAATATTTGGGGTCGTTGTTAGAAAATACATTAACTATTTTACAATTGATAATAAAAAATACACAAACTGTTTTGATTTTTTAATTTTCTATTTATTATGGTTACGATTTTCAACGAAGTTAAGGCAATTGTAAACACTATTACAATTACTATTTTGTGAAGAAGACTTATTCTTGTCATAGCTATAATCATACCAACTTTTTTTTATATATCTTAATTTTATCTTCAATTTCTGTTTTCTCAAAGTTAAAATTTTGTTAGGATTAGGGATTTTTTTTTTAAAAAAGGAATAAAGAGGCAAATAATATTTACGATTCCATCATTATCATTAAAAATCATAACCATGAAAGATGGAACAAAAAAGTAGAATAATTTATTTATTTTTTGTCAACTACAAATTAGTTTCTGTAGGTTTCAAATAAAATAAAAAAGTTTATATATTTTTCTTACAAATATTAAATAACTCATTTTTATTTTTGGAATATTTTCTTAGTGGAATATAAAAGACTAATCACAAAAGACCAAACATCAAGTGGAGAGACCTGACCACACAAATACAGTTCATTAGTCGAGACTTGACTGAAGAACGTAAGTTATGGTTTTCGATATACATAATCGAAGAGTTAAAAGACCGAAGACCCAAAACCATTTTCCAAATTTATTGTATTTCAGTCATCATCTGAGAAAAGGCTGCATATGTCATAGCCTGAGATAAAAAACCGCATCCGCAAATATCTGTATCCGTATCCGATTTTTTATCCGAAAAACGGATATCCGGGAAAACGGATACCGAAACGGATAGTAAATTATGGAGGATTCAGATAGTAAATTATGGAGGATTCGGATACGGATACGGATAATGCGGTTTTATAAAACGGATAACGGTTATCCGCTTTTTTTTGTTTTTATTGAAAAACCCGGATATCATATATTTAGATACGGATATCCGGTATTTTGGTTTAAAATACATAGTATTTTGATTATTTTTTTTTCATTTTTTTCGTTTTTTCACGGATATCCGGATTTTCGGATACGGCTACGGATTCTAAAATCACGGATAATACGGATGCGGATGCAGATGCGGATTTTCCAAAAAAAAGCGGATATCCGCTCCGTTAACAGGGCTAATATGCACTATTATTATTGTACTTTTTCATTTAGATGATCAGAAAAAGAAAAAGGAATGAAGTTCATTATTTCTTAATCCAGGACAATCTTTATTTCGTGTGTATTCAGTAGCTTAAAACATTACAAAGCTGATTGTTTTGTAATCAAGTATTGTGCGTTGTTGCAATAATATAAGAAGGAAACATTCTGCAAACCAAAAAGTTGCCTATACAACTTCACTTTTATGTCATCTTCTTGGCAAAACTGCTTATGTCGAATGCATCATTGTCATTCTTTGTTATGATCCCCTGCACATGCATTACATTCTTTGTTATGACCCTCTGCATATAAATCTTGAATAAACCGGAACAAGTATCATCTTTGGAAAAACAAACCTTCTCAGTTATGATTCCTGCGATCAGCTCAGCTGGAGTCACATCAAAAGCCGGGTTCCAAACAGAGATCCCTGGTGCTGCAATGCGTTCACCAAGTCCTCCATGTGTGTTTAGTAACTCCTTCGCTGTTCTTTCTTCTATCACTATTTCTTTCCCTGATGAAAGTGAAAGATCAACTGAGGTGAGAGGTGCAGCAACATAAAATGGGATCCCGTGATGTTTTGCGCACAGGGCCAGACTGTATGTCCCAATCTTGTTAGCAGTATCACCATTTGAAGCCACACGGTCTGCTCCAACAATGACACCATCTACACGACCGTCTTTCATCAGTGCAGCTGCAGCTGAGTCTGCAATGAGAGTCGCAGGGATCTTCTCATGCACTAACTCAAACGCTGTAAGCCTCGACCCCTGTCAAATGGAGGGAAATATTCAAGAGTGATATCTCCTACTTTACTTTACCATCTTATTGATTATGACAAAAAGCAAGCTATCGTCCCAAACAACTAACCGTATTCTTCAGATTCTTACAAACATTTAAATATAAAGAACTTTAATTCAGGAGTTTTACTTGATTGAATGGACGAGTTTCTGTGCAGTATGCTCTTTCTAAAACTCCTTGTGTGTGGAGTGCACGTATAACACCGAGGGCAGTACCATATCCGGCAGTAGCAAGGCTACAGAGAAAAAAATAGGAATTCTTAGTTACTTTCTAACTTGTAATCTGACACAAACATAAGTAAAACCCAGCTCTACTTGGTTTAAACATCCAAATGTATTTATGCAATTCAGAATTTATCTAAAACTCAAACCTGCCAGTGTTGCAATGTGTTAGAACAGAAAGCTTGTCAGGATTTTGGGCTTGCTGCCTCAGTAAGCTTGAACCAAAGTTCCCTATTGCCTTGTTTGAAGCAACATCATCTTCGAGCATATTCTCAGCAGCTTCAATATATGCCTGAGGAACAACAACAAGACACAGCGAATGAAGTGAACTTACAAACGCAAAAGGCTTAGCTTTTCGTAAAGTAAATTCAACGACCAAGATATCACTCCTTAGTCCAAATCCGATATAGCACATTTAACGACGAAACTATCACCCCTAACCAACTCTTACGAAATGTCGCAGTACCTTGAAAATAGACTTAGGTTCAATGGCAGTAGTAGCCAAGGCGTTTTTTATAACTTGTTTAAGTTTCACTGCAGCATCTGCAAGATTAACTGCTGTTGGCCGGCTGAAGAAGAAACATATACAAAAGCAAAGGACTTTAGAATCATCATCACAAAGCAATCAAGATGCAAATTTTATCTAAAAATTCAGTACCTTGACACTAAATAATCCAACTTGTTATCAAGAAAAGCAACAGCATCAGTAGATGAGCCATCAAAACCATTAAAGTTGAAAACTTCAACAGCTAAAGACAGAGCAGCAGCAATGGCTATAGCAGGAGCACCACGTACAACCATCTCCTGTATTGCTTTCCTAATGAACATCGAAAACTATTAAAAACATTTGCGCAATTCCCTTAATTCAAGAAGCATCTTTTCAATGGAAAGGTATGAACTTTACCATCCGTCTGCAGTATCACGGATCTCTAAGTAAGTGGTTTCCAATGGAAGCTTCCTCTGCTCCGAAATTTAGATTGAAACTTTTGAGATTAGAACAAGTGATGATGATGATTTGAGAAATTGTGAAAAAGGGTTTTTTCTAGAGGAACCTGATCGAGTAATTGGAGAGAGCCAGGCTTGTAACAGATAGACTTGAGAGTGGTGTCTCCTTCGCTTGACATGGATTTGACTGTGGATGAAACCTAACAGACGATGTCGTTTCTTCAGTCTTTGAATGAGAGAGACAACACAAACAAGTAATTGTTTCACTGATTGGTTTCGGAAATAAAAGGGAAAAGGTAAAGACTGTGGTGGGGTGGGTTATAAGAAAGAATCAGGTTCCTACAGCAACATGGCGGCGTGAAACGACCCGGCTTTGGTTTTTTTTTTTTTGTTATGTTTTGTTTTTGTCAATTTGCTCCAAAAGGCATGAACATGGTTTTGTCTTAGCAAATACCGATGATGAAAGTTAAATCAATTCAAGAAATGTTGAGTCTTAACTTCTTTTTCTTGATCAGTATCACTTGTAAAATACAGTAGTATATGGATGGATGGGGAGCAACAAAGGAGCAAGTCCAACACTAGACAAAATGAGTAGCATGATTTATAAATTCTAATGATGTCAAAAGATGATATAATTTTAACTACATGAATTGGTTATTACAAATTTACAACTATCAAATGGCTATGTCTGTCAGTTGCAGCCATCCGTACGCACACCGGTCTCGTATACTTCGAGCCATGGATGCTGCTGACTCAACCGCAGGTCTTATCTTCGTCATTGCTTTCTCTACTTGAATTCTGACACCAACATCCATCTGCTTTTTTAAAAATGCCAGCGAGGTTATTAGGGATCTAGAGAACAGAAATTGATTGTGATAACATTTACATTAGAAGTAGTGAGGTTGAAAGTAGAAACCTTTTCTAGAGAGCATTGTGTGTCTAAGATGTGGCAAAAGTATGATAGCTGCCTGTACAAGTCTGCTTCAGTGTACTGTAATAAGACAAAGCTGGGAGTCAAAAGTTGTCCAATAAAGCAACAGAAAGATAGGAGTTTTTACAAGGAGGATGAGGGCTTATACCTTTCTTAAGAGGGTTCCATTACAATTAGGATAGTTTGGGCAAACTGTTCCCCGTTCACGGTCACCGAGCAGACGAAAGTTGGGGCTGCGTGTTGTGTATTTGCAAGACTCATCGTCACACTGTTGAAGGCAAAATGTACAAGAATTTCGTAAGCATAACTTAATAACAACAGGAGTTCAGGGCAGTGGATATAAATGAGGCAAGTGAGAAGGTTTATGTGCACCATCATTATGCCTTTGTAGTACATTGACACAAACCCATCAATCTGCCTTTTCACCTGAAATGCATGATAATATGTTAATTACCAAAGCATTTGTTCTACAGGCCAAATCAGAAGGATACAAAAGAATTATAGTTTAAGAAACGTAGAAATTAGGATTCTTTTCAAGAAAGCTTTGCCTACCTGGTTAGCTATCATTGCAGGGGATATTCTTCTTGTGCTACCTTCTGCTTCGCATTTCGGGCAATGCAGTTTAAGCCAGAATATAGAATCAGATTCCTCTGTTTCAGTTTTGTAACTGATCGGCGCACAAACTGAGCTAGTAATCGATGGACAGGTGAAAGCAGCTGAGCAGCTAGGGCATGCTAATGCTAATGGCTCACAGCTTTTATATCTGCGCGTTTAAAATGTAAATTATGTTGTTGTAGATATTGAATTCTAAGAATAACGAAAATCCTGGTGAAAAAATATTTTAGGAAGGAAGCCTGAAAGCAAACTACAAATGGGATAAGAATCAAAAGATAGTATTACCTTTCTTGCTCGCTTGTAGCAAACAAGAGAGATGTAGAAGGATCACTGCCCGTAGTAACGTTTGATCTGCTTCGATACTATAGAAAAAGACAAAAAATAAAAAGATGACATTATTTCCAATAATTAAATATTGAACTGGAATTTGGCTTTAAATGAACGCTTTACCTTTGATGGGTCAAGTCCTAAACACTCGGCTAATCTCTCAGGACTTGTGCCCTGAATCTCTGCGCATAAACGAGATACCACTGGATGAATCTGCTGTGCCAAGTAATAATCTATGTCAACCAACCATCTGCTGTCGTCTGATTTCACCTCATCAGGATGCCTAGCACGTTCAGCAATCCCTGCTGAGCTTGCTAAACTAGTATTACCCTGCAATGAGGAAGGTAAGAAATTTAGCAGAAAGACAATTTGGTATTGGATAGTATTAAGCTGGTCTTCTGTGTTGGAAACCTGTTCATAGCAGATAATATACGGTACGGTATTCTTAGCACTGAAACCTTCTTTATAACCACGTTGCCTCATTCTGAGGGCGACCTGAGAAGACGATTCAACCGCACAGTCAGAGCTCGGGAAAATGTGACAACTACAATTTTTTAAGAATAACTCTAGTGAGCAATAATGCGAATAATAGGCTCTCACAGTCACCTGAACGTGTGGTTGGCTTTTGGAATCTGGATAAGCTTCGGGTGACTTAGTCAATGCCTTGGTGATGACATACTTCTCAAGTGCAACTTGCCCATTTCTCATTTCCTCTTTTATCTGTTGCATGGACAAAGTATCATGTATTGGATGATAAAGAAGAGCAAGCTAATTATCAAAGGTTAATAAATGGGGGAGTTAACAAAGATTACCTTCACAAGTTCGGTATGAATTGCTTCAACAACATCCTCACACGACCTGCAAAGAAGACAAGAATTTGTTGTGCTTTGTAAGAGAGAGTAAACATAATGCTTTTAGTGAATGTTCTAGAACATACCCTCCATACAAGATTTTAGCCAAGCATAAATCTCCAATTTCCTTGGAGAGCAAGCTCCAATCTCGACGAACCATGTCCACACCTTTCCTTTCAATGTCCTGCATTGAGAATGCATCTAGTACCCAAACATTGTTTAAAAGAAAAGGTAGCGAGAATGTGTAAATTATATATTACCTCGCAAATCTTCCCGTCCTTGAACTGCAACTTGATGGCGGCATACTTCTTTTTCCTAAGAAGAAGCATTCTCTTATATATGCCATCACATTCAATCTTCAGACATCTATACTTCTTATTGACCTAGAAATTGAAAAAAGAGAAGGTGAGACCCAAATCAAATGTCTGCTATTTTACATTGTAATTTGTCTACAATTTGCTCCAAAAGCACTCTTCCCAATAATAGTTATACCAATTTGAGTTCTCCATTGCGTGATGTTTCATGTATCAAGAAACCGAACATCAAAGTTGCAAACATTTATTGCATATTGGTTTAATCATCGAAAGGTTTGAATTAAGGGTAAAAAACTGGAGATAAATCTATTATCCAACCTACCTCTTGGATGACTTTTGCACCAATGGCTTTGACCTCTTCAATATCATCTAGTCCACTGTGAATCATGATTGAATCTGTGTCACCATAAATCACCTGTATAACAAAGCAAGAAGTTCAATTTTACACTTGATAAAGCAAAAATGTTGATACATTACATTGTTTTGTGCGACTCAACGTATAAGAGATACCTCTAGGTTTAGATGATTCTGGACAAGATCAACGGTTCTTTGCAGGATCTCCCTTCCCTGCAATGTTTGGGAATTAACCGGATCACACGAGAAATGGAGAAAAGCAAAGAAAAATTTATCACTAGAAACACATAGAAAGCAAAACCTACCTGTAGTGTTATGAGCTCTGCTAGAGGCTTAGCGTAGAATCTTGAATTAGAAAACCCAAGATATCCGTACAAACTGCGTTTAGAATGAAACATTAATATCAAAATGTGGTGAATGGGTATAATCGCCAGTAAAAGCTAAAGCCATAAATACAAACCTATTGGCTGTGAGCTTTAATGCATCCTGCCGAATGTCAAGCTCTCGGCACTTGAGACCTGTTTCCTTCTTCATCTTTAGTTTGACGGATTTCCTTATACTGACCAAATGTTCCATCAACTAAAACGAAGACATGTTGTGGTATTCATGATCTAATCTTTATTAGACTTGGCATAACAGAACAAGGAGAGAAAATCAAAGTCGTGGCACCAAAAAAGACATAGAGCTATAGTTTAGAACATGATGTCAAGATCAGTTATATTGAACTACAGCACACAGCAATCACCAATACAATACTGAAAAGTTGAGTCACATTATTCTGAAGATTTTGCGCATATACCTTGAGAGAAAATGAGGGAAAATATACTATTTTAACTTGTTGGGTTACTATTATTTTCCTATTAATTTCTGGTTTAGTTGGCCTGAGTGCCTGGCTTATAGATTTGGTGTTTGAAGACCTATAAAAGATCGAGTACAGAACCGAGAGAAGTCACAATAGAAAGAAACTAATGTAAACATACCTTTGGAAGAATTCCAGGTGTCTGACTAGAAGGTAAACGAGGAACTCCGTCTTCTGATCGTGGTATAGTCGTGAAACAGATATTATATTCCTGAAATTACGATGACATCAATCAAGTGGAAACAGCCATCCACAAGGCTTGAGTAATAGAAAACAGTCTGCTAACCTGTATAATAGACGGGTAAAGACTACTGAAATCGAGAAGCAACACATATTTGTCATATAGGCCTTTCTTTGGCTCCAAGACCAATCCACCAGCGTAGGCTGGACCCTTCTTTGTTTTGTTGTCCTTAGACGGATCATTTTCCGAAGCCAAGTCAACATCCAATTCATCTAAACTGTGGTCTTCTGGACCATGATTGATTCTTCTATTTGATGACTTTCTTTCCTTGATATGTTGCGAAAGTTTGTCTGGGAGAATATACTTTTTCGAGTGGAATGTATGTAGTAAGTAGTATTCATTTCTTTGCGCCCTGGCTCCCTGGTAAAGTGGTAATGAACAACAAAAAATATGTAAGACACCAGATAACGCTTGAGAGAGAGAGGAGAGCTAGAACAGGAGTCATTCAACCTGAAGAGTTTTACCCCAGAGATTGCCACTTATGTTGGTAAGCTGGAGAGTGAGAGGAAGAACGCTAAGATGAAACATGAGCTCCATGGATAACCATGCATCTGTCTCACCACATTCAATCTGAACCGAAGAAAACCAATAAGTTATAGCAATCAAACAACTAAGATGGAGTCATCACTTATCAACCTTAAGTCAACTAATGTTTCTCTGCAACTCCTTTACTTCTACATATGACTGGATCATTACCCTTCTCCAGTATGAAATAAATTATTTTGCTTGCAAGGAATCATAACCTATCGTCCCTAGTGAGGTAGTACCAGCTCGAACCATAAAACAGACATGAGTGGACAAACTAAGAACTTACAAGTTCCACAAGTGTTTTAGATGACTGAAACATTTTGGGAATATCATTAGGCGATATCTCTTTTCTGTCCCGGTTCAGCTGTGTCTTTGCAAGGTCTGTTAATGAATAACTGACCTGCAATAATCAGAAGGTTATAAGTGAGGGACGCAGCTTCAGCTGACTGCTTATAAGAGTTGAGCATCATACCTGCTTCAACAAGTCACGAGAACATAGATCTGTATCACATAAGAGTCTTCCAGCAATGCAAGACATAAGCCCTGGTGTAGCTCCGGATCCAAAATTAGTGTTCCCTTTAAGCTTAGGCATGAAAGAGCGTTTAAGACGGCCAATTTTGGACCACATGCTACTCAAAACTTTGCAAGCCTGCATGGTAATCATTTAGTTTTTTTAGAGAAAACAGAAGTTATGTTCATGTCTCTGTTAAACAGCGCATAAAACAAGAACTTGCTGTTTTATTAATGTTTCTTCTGCATAGAAGACAAGTCATTACAAAACTAATATAGTATCACGTTTACTGGAGCACACAATAGTTCCTTACAGAGTTAATGAAAAACACATCATAGAGGCGGGGGGGATGAAAGACATGTCCGGTTTTAAAGGTAAGAAAGAGTATTTGCTTTACCTGAGCTCTTTGGAGAAGGACATCCAGATCAAAACCTGATATATTATGTCCCACAAGAATATCACTGTCCAATTTGTTCAACTCCAGAAACAATCGGTTCAGCAATGCTCTTTCACTGCAGTAAGAAAAGGAAAACATATGTTGGATGAAAGCAGCATGAATTGCCATATACAGCAAAAGAGCTGTGAAATACCTGTTTTCAAAACTTAAAACACTGCAGCCGTTCTTTGAATTTCTGTCAACCACTTCTTTTTTCCAACCAATTGGGTAGCCGGTTCCTTCAGGATTCCTGACTACAGTGAAATGACTCAGAACACCAGATCGCTTTCTTTCTGGACCTGGCATTGGAACATCAATCTGAAAGACCAAGGAACTAGCTTAACACAAACAACACAAAAATAACTACTTGTGACTAGTAATGTCATGATCATACTTAAGAATGTAGTAGCATAACCATCAAGGTGACGAAAACTCATCTACACATTCCATATTATTCACAGAGAGAAACAATAGCTAAGAAGCAAATGTTGTAGAACAAACCTTGGCGTTATGAAAGCAGAGAACAGACGCAGAGACAATTTCGCTGATGTTCTGCTTTTCATTGACTATAGTCTTTAAGTTAATGGCTGTAACGACAGCAGGAGGATGAACCGTTTTTTCCTCCGGAACTGAAACGGTGATAACCTTGGGAGATTCAACAGTAATCTCAAACTTGCACCAGCTCACCTGCACAAGTGTCAAGTTCTCATTATTGGAAAAAAAAAAACAGAACTAAAATTCACTAGTAAGGATGATCATGGTACTTTTTCAAGGCCTTACTCGTTGAGATGGTGAAGTGGCAGAAAATATTGAAATTTTAAGCCAAGAAGGTCCCATGATCTTCCTTTTAAGGACAAAAAGCTCCAACGCACTGCATATAAATTAACTTAATACGGAGAGAAAAATTGCGCTGTGCTAAATTGACATAGCGGGCACACATAGTTAACTAAGAAGCTAAAGAAGGGACCAGTAAATGCAAACTCAACTAATAGACTATAAAAAGACAGGCAAAGGTAAATAAACTCAGCAATAAGACGCCAAAACCTGGTGTGAGAGCCGAGCACAGCGCAAAAAGATTCCCCTTTAAGGTCTTCTGGAAGTGGAGGATCCTATGACAACAAAGAAAAAAGTGTTATTGTGTTGAGTAAGGAAAGTACAAAAAAAAACAGACAACTTTTGAAGCTGAAATGTACCTTAAACGGATAATTAATCTTCAAAACATATTGTTCCCCAGCAGGCACATCAGGCCTGTCAAATGCATAGTTTCTCTGGTATTCATCAAAGGAGAACAGAACAGAAAGTCAAAAGAAAAGTTTTCATGCTAGAATACATGAAAAGTTAAAGTAAAGGTCCCAAAGGTACCAAACCTTGACAATTGCCATGCTATAATTTGAAACATTGAGTTGTAACAATTGCTGGGAAATTTCCTTCTTCAGTTTTGATGCCATTTCCTGAGAAGACACGGCCAAAAAACAATAAATAATAGAGGAAAAAAAAATTGCGTACTCTAAGCAATATGTAACACAAGTAGTCAAACTCACATGTAACTTCCCTCGGAAGGATTCAGGAGAAAGTCGAGACTCTTTCACCTCTTGCTCAAGCGTCATTAGTTCATGGGAAGGAAATATAGAATCATTTGGAATAGCGTAAACACATCTCTGGATATTCTTAACTACCACACAGCAACTCTTGTACGTATCTCCTATTTTAACCTGAGAAAGTATCCGAATTAATCTCACAGAAGACCAAAGTACAACAACTTAAAAGCAGAAGAGACTCACCTTCCCAAACAGATGTATTGTACCCATACTAGCACCAAAAGCCTCCTCATAAGCGTCAATAATGTAAAAACGAAGTGATCCATCAGCATCCAAATCAAATTCCGTTTGACATTCACAATCAGAACCAAATGGAACCTCATTCTCAGTTCCACCTTTTCCCATAGCTTCCTTCCAAGCAGCAGTGGCACTTAAAGCCGGATCCTTTTCTTTCATATCAATAGCTGCATTCAATGTAAATACCTCATTGCCACTGACATCACTTTGTCTAGAATCATTCTGAGGGATGACTTCAACAAACTCTGTCACTACTTCCTCTTCAATCAACTCTTTCCCCATGGAAACAATCGATACTACTGTGGATTCCGAATCCATTCTCGAGGTAACATGAACCAGATTCTTATTCAATGTAGCTGGTAGTTTCCTTCGCTTATGCCTTTCTCTATCAATATCATCAGGAGTAAACTCAGCTAATACCTCATCAAGAATACCCTCAGATTTAACCTTATCAATCTCTTTACCCTTCTTAAAACTCGAACTCGTAAACATTGAAGAAAGTCTCCCTTCACCTGTAATAGTAGCCGCAGCCTTAAGCGACACATTCACCTTCTTCTTCTTAATCTTCTCACTCTTCCTCCTCCTCTCACCACCATCGTCCGATTCATCATCACTCGACTCTAATCCACTGGGCTTCGACCAATCCTCCTCTTCACCTTCGTCGACATATCCCAAATCGCCACCTTCCTCATCGTTGACTACAAAACCGCGAGCTTCCTCACGCCGTCGGGAAACAAGGGTTTGGTACTCTTCATCACCGAATGTATCGTAAATAGGCTCTTCCAGCCTAATATCGTAACCACCACCGTTACGGAGTCCTCCTTGCCGAATAGCTTTTAGCCGCTCTAGGGCTTCCTTCCGATTGGACGCGTCCGCGCCGAGGCTGCGTTTCCGGCTAACTTCCCTCGAGTTATCGGTAGACATCTCAGGCGATTTTCAGCGGCGATTAGGATATGACCGCTAAGGAAGAAGAAGAGAGATTCGTTTGACTGAAGAAGAAGGGCTCCAAATTGAAGAAGATGAAGTTGTTTGATTTTCACAAAGTGGCCGCCAAATTCTCGAGAGCTCCTCTGAGCAAATATTTTTTTTATCATTTTTCGAATTTATTAAATATGGCATATAATGAAAATATATTACATAAACGTTTTTACGATCCTATTACATTTACCATTGACATTACTTAACGACTCCACTACTTGCATTAATTTGCATAATTAATCTTTTGAGAATTTTTGAGAAATGCTTTTTTTTTTAAATCAACCACACATTTATTAAAATTGAACTCTTATGGTTGAGAAATGCCCTTTTAGTCTACCTTTTTAAAAGTACCTTCATTTTCTATTCATTTTCAAAAATATCTCTCTTTTTTATCCATTTTCAAAAATATATCTTTTCAAATATGAAAAATTATAAACTTTTATATGGTTCATAAGCTACATCAAGATCATCATTACTATTGAAAGACTAAATCCAAATATTTATAAGGTTTTAAAAGGTTCTAAACGGCATTTGTAAGGTTTTTATAAGGTTTTTAAAAGGTTTACAAAGTTTTTATAAAGTTTTTGAATGATTTTTAAAAGGTTTTTAAAAGTTATTTATACGGTATTTATGAAATATATATGTAAATTTATACACATATAAAGATAATTTGTGTCTATAAATATAAGCTTACACATATTTTTTGATAAATTCCAAAATTTATAATGATTTTCAAAATTTATAATGATTTTTTGATAAAATTAGAAAGAGGGATATTTTTAAAAAGTAGTATTGGAAAAAGGATGTTTTTAAAATTCCCTCATTAATCTTTATAATATTAAAAAAGAAATACGATTTAAAATCATTGGAAACGTATAATTCTAATTTCATAATTATCCCTTAATTATTGTTTTTAGAAAAAGAATTTAGAAATCAATGATAATTTGAAATTAATGAAAAATACATTTGGATCGACCAATTAAAATTTTCAAGTCCACGCGTATTTCATTTACATCTTACCAAAAATTAATAAAATATTAATGATAAATAAATAAAGTTAATTATGATATATTCTAATTAAATCTTGACTTTTAATCAACTGAATATGAAAAAAATATATGAACTTTTTTTGTTACAAAATACATATTTTAATTATTAATAAAATAAATAAAGAGAATTTTTGAGAAATATTTCGGTGTACCCTTTTTAAAAAGATATCTTTTTTATCTATCTATCTATTTTCAAAAATACCTCTGGTTAAATATGCAAAATTATAAAGTTTTATATGGTTTATAAGGTATTTCTATATAATAATTACTATTGGGAGATTCGATACAAATATTTTATAATGTTTTCAAATGTTTTAAATCGTTTTTACAAGTTTTACAAGGTTTTTAAAAGGGTTTATAAGGTTTTTACAATAATCTTGTAAATATTTATTTATGATATTTTATTTTGATATATTTTTATTTTAAAATTTACAAAAATAAAACGAAACTGGCTTCAAAATTTCGAAACTGAGATTACATATCAATTTAAAATTAGGCATTTGTAATGATCAATTAAATTTTGATAATTATGGTATTTTTCAATGTTATGAAAATAAGAAAAACCAAAATTTTAGAAGATATTCTCCAGAACATTTTATGTTTATGAAAAAAAAAATATTAATTGTTTACAAAAATTCTACGAATCAAAGCCTTATATTAATCCTTCATTTTCACAAAAACTATATACATTTTAATTAGAAATATTCATTATTTACCTTGATAACAATATTCTAATGTGACAAAAACATTATTCTGATGAAAAATAGTTTAGAGCTTGCGGATTAATAGGTTGAACGAGTTGGAAGCAACATTGGTCCGTTATATAGTTAACAAAATGAAAGTTTTATTTCTTTGACACTTTAAAATGTGTGCAACACTTAGTTACTAATTTACATATGTACTACAAATTAAATCTAAAAGCATAAATTTAAATCGTACACTTTAAATAATATAAGATTTTAACATTATTGTATTTATAGATAAAATATTATTTCGCAATATACCGCGGGTTAAAACCAATGTTCGAACATGTCTAAATATTTATGTAAAGCATAATTAAAAATGCATCATCATATTCTATATATACTCACATTAATTCTCAAACTTTAAATATTTTTGCAACCATTAAATTGATTATTCAAAACATTTGATAACGTTAAGAACTAAACCTCATGCTTTCGTAAGTTTATCCACGTGTAACCGCAACTACTCTGTTTAAATCAATCAAACTCTATATCACTACTATATATAAAAGAATAGCAAAACCGTTGTAGCATATCCACTATTAATATGAAAATTTAAAAATACAAATATTTTCCGCGGTGTACCGCATGTTAAATCCTGGTAAATCACATTATATAGAACTCGAACCCCAAACCGCCTTGTATATAAGTATTAGTTAACTCTTGATCAACCATTGGGCCAAGAGGACGTCCACAAATACTTATTTTGCTATTTAAAATAGAAAAACAAGTTAAAGACTCTTGGGTACTTTACAATTTAAGTTTATTACCAACCCAACCAGTTTAAATGAGTTATAAAAAATCCACTCCATGAACATGAGTTAAATCCATTAAACCTTCTCTAAATTGATTAAAACTCTAAAAAAATCTCCAACTGATTTTTCTCTTTCATCGTTGCTTACTTCCTCTAAAATCTCTAAAATAATTTCAATCAAAATTTAGATATGAAACTACTTCTCATTTTCACACAAATGATGAATTTATATATAAGGAAATCAGTTTCGTCTTTTCAATTTTGTGTACAATTTTGTGTACAATTTGTATGAATTTTGAGAAATTTTGTACGGAATCATAGTCGAACTACTTCTAAGAGCAACATTATCAAGGAGATTTAAGGAGTATCTTAGTAAATTTAAGATTTAAATTTAAATCAAAAATCATAATTTTAGGTAAGATACTTAAGATAGGTATCTTATGTAAGATATTTTTGGAGGGTAAAGATACGTATACGTGGCACATTTTGATTGGATACAGAGATAAATATATAAAGGAAAAAATAACTTAGTTTTTTTCTTTCTTTTTCTCGCGATGTGAAACAACAATATCACCGACGACCACCATCTTTTTTTTGTCAACCGACGACCACCATCTTATGTATGTTTTAAATTTTAAATTTTGCTATAATTATAAAATTTTCTCAAATTACAATTTTTAATTTAATTTAATTTTTAAATAATTTTATTTTCTTTCTAAGATATCCAGATGAAAATGAACGAGATATGTATACTCAATTTGATGTCACCGAATTTCAACAAGCGGAAACTGTCGAAAGTACATGAGTGGATTTCTCGTATGGTACATATATGCCTTCAAATTCCGTCGATCTGATGGCCGCTAGAACTCGACTTCGGGATCGAGCTAAGTATGAACAATTGAATAACGATCTGGTCAAACATATTTGGAATAAATTTTCACGTTTAAATTTATTGTACTTTATGTTATAATTTCTATCTTATAATTTCTCTCTTACGTATGTTTTCAAATTCTAAATTTGCAATAATTATAAAATTTTGTTAAATTACAAATTATAAATTTTTTTCTAAGATATCCAACTTAAAATCCTACCAATAAACACATCTCAAAACTAAAAACTTTTAAACTCAACTTTTTCAAGTTTAATACTAATTAATTCTAAGATATCCTAATTAGCATACTACCTATAATGTTGGTCTAACATGGTTAAATCTTTAACCGATAGGTTGATGCATGTCACTATGACATGAGTTACTAATTTTGAAAAATCAAGCTTTATATAATAAAAGGTGGATCTATCGTTATTATAAACATAAATTCATAAGAGATATGAATTTTGGAAACGCCCCTCAACTTCTGATACATCATAAGAAATGTGAATTAACTGAGGTTGGTTTAGAAGTATTCACACATGTCTACTACTCTAAAACCTAGAAGACAAATAGATACAGTGTTCAAGTACCAAATAATCCAAGTTCAACCTTCAAACCCTAAGATACACAAATTAACTGAGATAACACAATCACTACTTAGTTGTTTTTTTAAATCAAAATTTAAAACACAAAACTTGATATACACACTTCCTGAAAAGGTCAAGGTTTTAGTGGTAGGGAATCTAATTTGGTCAAGTTAATTAGGAATATTATCAAAAAAAAAAAAAAAAAACAGGTTGTTTAAGATAATAAATCATCAAGAATAATTAGCAACCACAGATACATTATTACATAAACATTAGTCACACTTACTTAAAATAGAAAACAAAAAATGAACATCCTTTTTAACAATATCAAACACCAACAACGAACAACAACAGCTCTAACACACCGGTCCGGTCCCTGAACAAAACAAAACACAATTGTTTAGGTTTCGTCGTCGTCGTCGTCGTCGTCCTCGTCGTCGTCCTCATCAACAATTGAACCAAATCCATATCTCGGGGGCGACGAATTCAGATCGGAGATCTCAACTGAGATCGCCGGTGATTGGAATTAGGGATTTCGAAGATGACTCAACCTATATGTTCATCGTCACAAGATCAATCATCTTCTTCTCCTCGCTCATTGATCCCTCCACGCAAATCAGTTGCGAATTTACACCGTCGCAGGTTTATAACTTTTTCGTGTTTTGTAATATTTCTTAGCCTTTTCTCAATTATGGAAATTGGAATCTGATTTAGAGGGTTTTTGCATTAGATCAAGGCGTTACGAAGCTTGTTTAGGAAGATCACTGATTGATTGTTTTTTTATAACTTAGCTTTAGTTATTTGAAGAAGCTAGATCTTGAGTGATGATTCTATAAACTTGGGAATTTGGATTTGTTGTATAGGGGGAAGAGTGTTTTCAACATGCTGGTTCAGAGGGAAATGTCACCAAAGGAAAAGTTTGTGCCAAGGAAACGTTGGGGTAGAAGTAGATGGTATACTGATCCTTCTTCATGTGGAAACAACATCGAACATATGGGAGAGACAGGACAAAGTCTTACTTCATGGTAAAAGATTCATGTTTCTTGTCTTGTTATTGCAAAAGGACCTTGGTTTTGAAAACATTGTTTGAGATTTTCTCATTTGTAATTGATTTGAAGGGTTGAGGCAGAGTCATTGCAGCATTTATCTGCAAAGTATTGTCCTCTTGGTCCTCCTCCAAGGTCAACTATTGCAGCGGCTTTTAGTACTGATGGAAGAACTCTTGCTTCTACACAGTGAGTATATCATGTTGTTTATCTTTTTATTCTTTGTATTTTGTCTTTTTAATTCTCACTTTTGTTTTTCGTGTAGTGGTGATCATACTGTAAAGATTATTGATTGTGAAACTGGAAAGTGTTTAAAAGTTCTGACCGGCCATCGAAGGACTCCTTGGGTGGTGAGTTATTATTACTATCCCCCTTTTTCTCATTTTTTATTCTTTTCTATGTTTGATATGTAGTACCTTTGTGAAACATAGCTAAGCCAATCTCAGGTAGTGAAATGAACTGTACAACTAAGTTAAATTCGTTTCTGTTATTGTAGAACAGTCCTATTTTACCTAAAACTAATGTTATATGAGCTTGTACAGGTCAGATTCCACCCTCGTCATTCAGAAATAGTTGCTAGTGGAAGTTTAGATCTCGAGGTCCGCTTATGGAACACCACAACTTCTGAATGTATTAGGTCTCATGCATTTTGTAAGAGTTAGGAATCCGAATACTGTGTTTCTTTTTCGTAGTTCTGCCTATCATCTTACCGTTTTAATTTCTTCTTTTTTTTTTATCTCTTACCAGATCGGCCTATTGCTTCTATCGCTTTCCATGCTGAGGGGGAACTACTTGCTGTTGCTTCTGGTCATAAGGTGATTTTATCCTATTAAGCCTCCCCGTAAAATGTTAACTAGTTCTAGGTAGCACCTCCTTACAGAAAGATCGTGGAAAGTTGATTTTTCATGATATTTTTACAGCTGCATATGTGGCGCTACAATAGGAGAGGAGTGGAATCATCACCAACCGTTGTATTGAAGACGAGGCGCTCTCTGAGAGCTGTACACTTTCACCCTCATGGGGCACCATTTCTCTTAACTGCAGAGGTGAGCTACCTAATAAGAATTCATTTAATTGTTTTTGCTCCATTCTATCCGCTTATATTTCTTACCTTAAGTGGCAGGTGAATGAAATTGATTCATTAGATTCTTCAATGTCTAGAGCAACATCTATGGGTTTCTTAAGGTATCCGCCCCCGGCTATCTTGTTCACAAGCACAGAAAGCAATCAAACTAGTTTGGCAGCAGAACTACCTCTTGTGCCTCTTCCTCACATGTCCGTGCCTACAACTTCTGGAGAGGATCAAAGGATTGGTCAATACTCTACTGGAAATAGAGGTCCTTCTGTTTCAAATAGTGTTCCAGGAAATTCTCCTGCAGTTGATGGTATGAATGTAGATGAAGCTCGACTTGTTGGAAGAAATGGAATTCCTAGCCAAGTTTCGAATCGATCAGATTTCCCTGAGCTTGGACAGATTCAGCAATTATTTCAGTTCAGGGATCGAGTTTCCTGGGAGTTACCTTTTTTACAAGGATGGTTGATGGCTCAAGGTCATGGTGTTGCTAATTCAGTGGTTCCTCCCACTGGCGGTAGTAATCATGGTATCTCAGCTCCATCTTCAACATCTCGTTTATCAACAACCAGTCTAGAGGCTGCAGTAGCGTTATTAGAAATCCCGAGTAATGTTAACTTACATGCGGTTTCTGGAAGAGGCGGAGCCCAGGAACAACCTTCACAACCCCAATTCTCGGTATCTGGATTACCAGAAGGTGTGTCTTCTCGTAACAATCAACATGGAAGTGATGCTCAACCTGTCGTGAACAGGGTCCAGTCTGAGCTTGCTACCTCAATTGCTGCTTCGGCTGCAGCAGCAGCTGCCGCGGAATTACCTTGTACTGTCAAACTCAGAGTGTGGCCGCATGACATCAAAGACCCATATGCGCAACTGAAATCGGAAAAATGTCTATTTACAATACCGCATGCCGTCCTTTGCAGGTAAAGCTCCTTCTCTTTAAATTACGAGAGAATTTTTTCGTCAGGTCCTTGATATTATTCTCTTAGACTTGAATGCTTATGATTCTAAATTTTGCGATTGGATGTACATTAATATTTCTGCCTCTTTTATGTGTTCAGTGAAATGGGAGCTCATTTTTCGCCATGCGGGAGATATTTAGCAGCCTGTGTTGCATGTGTTTTTCATCATACTGATATAGATCCTGGACTGCAGACACAAGCGCAACAAGAGTCAGGGCTTGCAACTTCCCCAACTCGACACCCTGTGACAGCACACCAAGTCATTTACGAGCTTCGTGTGTATTCTCTCCAGAAAGAAAGGTAATTGCAACTTCCGATATATCATTGTGCTAAATGCTAATTCTACCATCTTGAAAAATGCACATTCCTCATGTGATTTCTATGAATACAGTTTTGGTTCAGTACTTGTGTCACGGGCAATTAGAGCTGCACATTGCTTGACCTCTATCCAGGTTAGTCGCTTTTCAAGAATAATCAGATGAAACTTTTATGGTTTTTGTTCAGATGGTATTGTATTTATCCATCATTTACTTACATTTTGCTGAGATAAAACTGTTTTGCTTCATACACAACATATGGGAATGTCCATTTAGAGTGTAAAACTTGTGAGATTATATGTACTAAAGAGAAGTCATATGAGTTATATGGATATACTAGAGGAAATTTATGTTTGTAACAGTGCTCGTTTTTTCATTTCACACGTAGCCAAACCAATATAATGTGGTCGTAAGTTGTTGAAAATGCTTTAATACTTGAGAATTCTGGGTGCAGTTCTCACCCACCTCGGAGCATATACTGCTTGCCTATGGGCGGCGTCATGGTTCTCTATTGAAGAGCATAGTTAGTGATGGTGAAGCAACATCACATTTTTTCACAGTATTGGAGGTAAAGCCTTATGCTACTACATCTGTATCATGGAGTGTTTATATATATACTTGGAGTTATAACATATACTGTTGTGTCTTGTGTGGGTTGGTCAGATATACAGAGTTTCAGATATGGAGCTTGTGAGAGTACTGCCAAGTTCAGAGGATGAAGTGAACGTTGCTTGTTTTCATCCATCTCCTGGAGGAGGTCTTGTTTATGGGACAAAGGTAAAACATATAGATCATATCATTATTGACTAACAATGGCTAGGAGACATATGAATATGAAAATGAGAACTCATGACTCATGGTTTTTGTTCAGGAGGGGAAACTTAGGATATTCCAGTACAATACAGCTGCAACCTCTAACTTTACTGGACCAACCTGAGGAAACGAAGTTGTCCGAGGTAGCGTAGAATTATAGTAAAGAAGGTTGGATCTTTGTCAAAATCAGTTCTAACTATAAAGGATGATCTAATTGGCTAACAGATATGGTTTTTACAGGTGCATTAAAGTGGTAGCAAGCAAGAAGCAAACATAGGTTTCAATTCCATCATCAAATCCACTCCTCTTCACTCTCTCTTGTTTTAAAGGTAAAAGACTGCAGACAGAACAAAAGAAAAAATGTAAAAAGAAACAAAGGAATTGGTTTAGTTTTGGTTGTAAGTTTGTAACAACGGCACAATTTATCTACAGATTAACAAAAGGAGTCTTCTTTTTAAGTAATCAGTGTTAATGTTAGGGTATTATCATTCTGCATACATAGAGTAATCATTAATTAGTTCTCTCTTACTATGTTATCCTTAACTATTAATTATATAATCTCTTCTTTCTTTCTCTATTTTCTTATACAATACCAAAAATCTTAGCACACTAAATTTGTTTGGCAAAGTTGGAAGAGGGGATTGAGGAATACAATGACCGTTATTGATTTTCTATTCATATAATATGTATATTATATCATATTATATGAGTTTATGGGTTGGCTCAATTCATTTAAACAAATGAGTTAAGTAAACACATTACCCATTTAACTCTAAACTCATTAGATAATGAGTTGAGTTGAGTTGGGTTATCCATTTTGACACCCCTAATTATATGGTATATTTAATAATTTATCACGTTAATATAAATGTTATGTGATATACAAAGTATCTTAGCATGCTAATATAAATATTATATGATATATTTATGATATATTTAATCTTAACAAACAAATATTATACTCTATGTTTCATTATAAGTGATGTTTAAGGTTTTGCATACTAAATAATAAAACATATAATTTACCAATTTTCCATAAAAACATCATTAACTAATATGAATTCAATCAATAAGAAAATATGATGTAAACTGTAATTGGTTAAAAATATTAAATACATTAAATTTTGAGAATTTTTGAAAAATACCCCTTTTGGTGTAACCCTTTTTAAAAATATCCCCTTTATCTATCCATTTTCAAAAATACCCCTTTTTAAATATAAAAAATTATAAAGTTGTATATAGTTTATAAGGTACTTCTATATAATAACTACTACTGGGAGATTCGATACAAATATTTTAAAATGTTTTAAATAGTTTTAAATCGTTTTTATAAGTTTTATAAGGTTTTTAAAAGGTTTTTAAAAGGATTTATACGGGTTTTATAAGATTTTTATAAGCTTTTTATAATTTATTTTTACGCTATTTATGAAAGGTATATAAAGTTTTATACACATATAAAGGTAATTTGTGTAATATTTATAAGCTTACACACATATTTGGATAAATTTCAACATTTTTAGTGGGTTTTTTGATAAAGTTTGAAAAGGGGGTATTTTTAAAAAGAGGTATATGAAAAGGGGTATTTTTGAAATTCCCCTTAAATTTTTGCATAGGAAATTGAAAACATCACTTATACTGAAACAAAAAAAAAAATTGGCTAAAAAATCCCTTATTATGAAACAGAGGAAGTACTAAATTTAACTTATTTATATTTAATAAATATAAATATAAATGAGTTAGCACGACAAATGTGAATTTATATTATAAACTTATCGTGATATGATATAATTTAGCACGATATACTTATAAAAATATTTGATAAATATATTTTGTTATTGCCTTTATATTTAAAAAACAAGTACTCAAAAAATGAGATAACCTCATAAAAAAAATAATTTCTTACATTAAAAATAAAATTCTTCAGCAATGTAATGAAGTTTAATTAATGGGGTGTATTTGAATAAAATTGTAATTTGTTATGAGACGTTTTATTTTTTTATATAGAGGTTGTGAGTATTTACAATCCTTTTTTAATAATTGACTGTATAATTTTTTTTAATTTTGGTATTATATCAATTAATTGTGTAATTTTCTTAATCATACTAACTCCAAATTATAATTAGTTATATCCTTTTATATATGTATTATAACTATCTTTTAATATATATTATTTTCTTATTAAGTTCTTTTTAAATATAAAATTTGTTAAAACAAAACATTTGTATTACACATGACAACATCTCTTATTGATAAAACTGGCACATATCGCGATCACGTGAATTACTAACTTTTAAAACGAAGCTTTATATAATAAGATATACTTAGATATATGGATCAATTTCATTGGTTATAATATCGAATAAATAGTTAGAATATTCCGTTGAAATAAATCATGAATGGACTTAGTTTAAGAAGATATGAAATTTCGTTATATAGTATATTTTAGTTTAATATCACAATTTCATTGTAGAATATGTTCTCTTAGATTATGTATCTTGAATTATAATTCAAAAAAAAATCTAAATATGGCTATTTTGAAATATATAAACTCGTATTTTGCAAAAATTGTTTTAAGGCGCGAAAAGAAATATCCTACGTGTAAGCTAAGAATATATCGTATTGGGATGTCGATAATTGTGCAATCCCAAAACTGTTCAGCCAAGTCGAGAGTTTCACTAGAATCATTTATGGAACTCCCTGTCGCTAGTCATTCAAGTCGTTCATGAGTGGACTCGATGGTATATGCACCTTTTTTGAACTAACAAATTTTATCTTTTTGAAAACGTAGAAGCAGCTGACAAGTGATTATTGACTATATAGCGTAATGTGCACACACAAAAAAAAAGTTAAACAAGATTTTATAATTTTTCCCAAGTTTGTTTTCTTTTTACTTTTTCTGACGATTTTTCATTTTAGCAAATGCTAAAATATGGTAATTTGTGTGTTTAAATTTTTTTTTCTTTTATTAAATAAGTGAAATTATCATCAATATATATATATGTATATATATATATATATATATATATTAAAATAAGCAAATTTTAAAGCCTCGAAAAATGATAAAGTGGGTACTTATCTTTAGATGACAAAATGTCTACCTTCAAGAAACTCCATTTATTGTCTGTAACAAGAATATGTTTGTCATCAACGAATTATTTATGTTAAATCGATGATGATAGTACCGAGTTAGGAGTTCGTCATTTTCAAATTATCGTACTAAGATCATCAAGTATAGATGTCATGTTAGCGGTATTACTCCTATGTTAGATTATGGGAAAACTGGAAATAGATTATCTTTTCTCCAAATATTATTTGCATCTGAGTTTATATTTTTCGAAGAAATTAGGTTTAGTAGTTATTTATCCACTTGTTATGTAGTTTTAATCTTAAGAAGCATCCACCCAAATTTTATGTTAGATAGAAAGATCCCATCTGCAATTTAATTTGTATTTAATGTTTTTGATAAACTATAACACACTTGTTTCTTGTCAAGAATGTCGATGTCATTGCAGGTACCACAATGGATTACAAAGATGATTCACTGAAGAAATAGCTCAAACAAAAATTGGTAACCCTAATAACTCTAAAGTACCCAACTAAGTCTAAAATTACTCAATGAATTCTATTTTCCTAAACTTATATAACTCGAACCCTAATGGATCATATTCAAATCCGACCCAGAAACCCCGAATGCCCAAACCTATTACTTACCGAAAGGCGCCTCAAAGTGTATCTAAACAAAATCTATTTGAAAAAAAAAAAGTAAATAACCAAACCATATTTTCAAATATCAAAGCTGGTCCTACCAAATATTGTTATAATAATCGATATAACATTTTTCTTAAAATAATGTTTTTGTTATATATCTAATATCATCCACAAAATAAAATAATCTATAGATCAACTCCATGCATAAGATGTGGTCTCGAACCAACCAGATAGAGACTCGACAAACCATCACATTGCAAAGGCCCCCTAAAGTGAGTGACTCCAATTTATTGTATCACGTGTTTGAAGACCCTCATAGAGAAAGACTTATCTCATACTGTCATACATTCAAAATTCTACCGACACATTAGCTAAAATGGCTGCTTATTTCACAACATTTGTAATGTAAGAAAAATAAAATGATAACATAATTAACACCACGTGATCACTATTCTTTTAATAAATAATTGGGTTCATGTTATCATAATTATCTTCCAACCATATCAATTCTATCCAACTTCTCCATCCCATCAGCGATCTAAACAAATCCACATTGTGTGCGGCCAAGCCATGAACGTCAAGAGAGACCAACAGTACACATCTCCACCGTCTCTCCTAACCGAGACCATACCTATCATTGACCTAAGCGATCCAAATGACGAGCTAGTAACACATAAACTGGTGAAAGCCAGCGAAGAGTGGGGGGTTTTTCAGGTGGTTAACCACGGCATTCCGGTATACCTAATGCAGCAGCTTCGAGAATTGGGGAGGCAGTTTTTCGAGCTCCCGGAGTCCGAAAAAGAATCCGTCACAAGGCCAGCTGACTCCCAAGATATAGAAGGTTACTTCACCAAGAATCCAAAACATTTAAAGGCTTGGAACGATCATCTGATTCACAATCTCTGGCCACCATCTTCTATCAACTATAGATATTGGCCTAAGAATCCTGTAGATTACAGGTAATGAAAATGATCTCCAAGTCCATATAGAACTCAGCATCCTGCATAAAAACTTGATGAGTACGTTAGGTTTTAACTCTTAAAAACATTTCATCAAGTTCTTACATATTCTCCCTTAGATTATCCTGTAGTAAAAATATTAATAGTTTGATTTCGGAGTGATGACGGTTGTAGGAAGGTAACGGAGGAGTACACAAGGAATGTTACGAAGCTAACGGACAAGATTCTTGGTTACTTATCGAAGGGGTTAGGGTTACGGCGTGAGGCCTTGAAAGAAGGTCTAGGTGGCGATAAAATATTGTATTTGATGAGGATCAATTACTATCCACCGTCGGATTCAGTCATTGGAGCACCGGCGCACGCAGATCTCTGTGCGCTCACACTTATCATCTCCAACGAGGTTCCTGGCCTTCAAGTGTTCAAGGGTGACCACTGGTTCGATGTTGAGTATATCAGCTCAGCCATCGTTGTACTCATCAGTGATCAGATCATGGTCTGTTTTGTGTTTGTTTTTTTAAAAAACTTTATGAAAATTTCGGAAATGTTTTGTGTTTGGTTCTTACAATGTGTGAAAATTGGATGCAGAGGATGAGCAACGGGAGGTACAAGAGCGTGTTACATAGATCAGTAATGAATAAGGAAAAAACAAGAATGTCGTGGCCGGTCTTGATAGAGCCTGATCATGATTTGGTCGTTGGACCTTTGCCTGACCTAACGGGAGAAGAGAATCCTCCCAAGTTTGAGTCTTTAGCTTTTGAAGACTACGTACACCGTAAGCTCAACAAGCTTCTTCGTGATTGATGTCATGACCTACTACTACAACTTCAATTATGAACATGTGTTGTGACAAGACTATGGCACTAGCTATAACATTTAGACTACAATCTCTATCTATCATAGTTTCTATGTTTTTCTTATTTAAGATATTCGGTTGAACGGACATTACTTGTTTTTTGAAATGGTAAAGTGAATGGAAATCCATTCATTATAAATAATTGTCAAAATAATTATATTTTTAGTTTTCATGATTTTTTTAACCATGATAACATATAGGGACAGCAGTGACTTTGTTCGTGAGAGCTAACTTTTAAGGCTCTAAGAGCATCCTCAATGCTAGGCTATTAAAAATGAATCTTATGATTTGTTTAGTAATTTAATTGAAAAAGTGATGATAAGAAGTATAATTAAGTTTTTGTGTTTTTTCAGGATTATTGGTGGGTTTTTAAGTAGTGGATCTTAGGATTAAAATATATAAAAAAAGATTAACAATTTTAATTTTTGAAAACAATAATTATTGCAAAATAAAAATTTTAAAACATAGATGAGATACAATTTATTGCATAAATAACATAAACACAAAGCACAATTAATTTAATCGTGATTTGTAGAATATTTTGTCCATATGTGCTCGACCAAATACTTTTTCAATTGTTAATGCCATTTTCTATGTAGAAACTATAAGAATTCTTTTTTCTTCGGTAACTAAAAGATTTGGGTTGTCTTTGGTAAGGGTCGTTCATTAGCTCAGTCTCCATGGCCATCTTCACTCTAGTACCAGGAGTCGATTTTCCGGTCGAAATACGGAAAAACTCCATTCAATTCTCGATGGAAACGGAGGTTAGGGTTGTGGAGGATGATTCGAAGTTCTCACTTACCTCCTATTCCTGGGATTACTGGGATTACTGGTTCTCACATTCCTAACATTCCTAGGAATTCGCAAAACGGGGCGGGAATCGAAGTGGGGGACCTCTCTACCGCTTGAACTCCTCTATATTCGAAATATGCGAGAAGACGGTTGGGAAAACAAGAAAGGATTGGTCCACCAAGCTTGACGATGCGCTATGGAGACGAGGATTCTTTTTTTTTTTATAACCCCAATAAATTTTCCACGCATTGAGATTCCGTAAGTAACTCAGTGAGTGCTTTCGAGTCTACACTCTCGCGTCATATGGCTCCGCCCCGGAATCATTTTAGATCGTATCCAAGCCTGCCTAGATTCCACGTTCCCGAAATGGATCTTATCAAATATTTCACATTTTCTATGATTATTTCTATTTTAGGTAATAAGAAATTGATGTGAAAATAAAATATGGAAGCTTGGACTTAAAAGAGAATGATGAAAAGGAAAATTTTTTTTTTAAAAAAAATCATTTTTTCTTATATTTATCTCAACAGCCACTAACAGAGCGCCACGTAGACGTCTCTTAACCATTGTTTATCTTAGCTATTTATCCACATTTTGCATTTAATTAAATCACAAATTCATGTAAGATATGCTTAAAAACCTTCCATTGAAGATGGTCTTATCGCGACTAGTGCCGTTGTATCAACTGGATCCAATCCTACTCCCCCGACATACCAAAGTTCACAACATATGGACCTGAGACTTGAGCACATGCATGCAAAGCCCAACCCCAAGAACTAATCTTATGATTTGGTGCGTCTTAAACGGTGTTATTAGGAGGCTAATTAATAAGCCATGGAACCATCTAGAAGCTTTCAATATACAAGAACTCATGAGTTGTTTTTTTTTTTTTGACTACCCAGGTTTTCCAACGCTTACGCTTGGACTAGCCACGTGGGCGGCCTAAAAGCACTCCATGTGTCGGCTCCTGGGATGCTGCAGCCCATATGTGAAATCTGCAGTGGCCGGGGATCGAACTCGTGATGGTGGGTACCTCAACTGAGGGTCCTTTACCACCAGAGTTAGAGGCTGCGGTTGAGTTGTCCTTTTGGACCAAGCATTCAAAAAGTAACGTACAATAACTTTATATCAAATAAATACTTTTAAGATTTCTCCTCCATTTTTGAGAAATTTCCAAAATATCACATTTTGAAAAATACCACAAATATTTATTTTTCTAAAAATTATCATAATCATTAAAAAATATTGATTTTTGAAGATGTATTGCACTTTTGGGTTGACTATTTTATATTTTGGGTAGGGTTTAGTATTTAAGAATTAGAATTTAGTGTTGAATATTAAAAAATTTAATTTTAGTTTTGTGGAAAAATATATTTTAGTTATATTTTTAAAAATAGTCTTTCATTTTTCCATTTTTTCCTATTTTTAATTATTATACATTTATTAAAATTAGAGGCTATATAAGCCAATCAAACTACCTACTCCTACATATAACAAGGCTTTTTAATGTGATTTTTATGTGGGTCAACATCATTAATAAGCTGACTCTAATAATATGGTGTTAGTTTAGTTACTGACTCTAATAACTGACGAAGTTAAGACTCTCAAAATCAAATGAAAGTTAACTTGTGTTCTTTTTAAGTAGATTGTATAGTTTTTGAGGTCGAAACATTTTCAAGCATTGACAATGGTGTTAGCCACAACCGCCTAAGGCAACACGAGAAGACTCACAAGCCCTGTCCAGACCAAATGAAGTTCAATAACATTTCTTCCAACGACCACTTGGGATACATTCTCAGTTCAATTACCAAGAGAGCCTCGAAGTGGAATTCAATAATGTAAAGGAAATCTAAGAAAAACATTAACTGATTTTTAACCGTAGAAAAAAAATGTAAAAAACCATCCCATTAAAATCTCCCTTTTAAGTTTATTGTGAGGTCGAACCCACCACGTCCGTATAAGCCTTTGCTTTGCAAAAAGTTAGTTGACACTTTAAACCAAACAATCAAGAAATGAAGGCACTGTCAAAATGGTTTGGGGCTATATAAGACGTGTTCTTGCAGAAACAGTTTCAATTTCGAGGGCGATGTGTTGTCTTAACAATCTTGAAATTGAACATCTAATAAAGTGCTAGTAACTCAATTGGTAAAGATCTCTGGCAAAAATTTAGAAGTTGCGGTTCGAATAGCGCTTGAGACGAGACCATATAACTTGTTTTGGTCTCGGATCTCGGGCCTGAGGAGATATGTAGACTTCAGTCCATAACCTTTTGATTATATATAAAAAAAAATTGAAGGTAAAGGAGTTTGATTCTACTCTTTTCTCTTATGGGAAAGGAGGTGATCAGGGATTCCACTTACTTCATGGAGAGTAATTATTTGGCTTAATAGACCTAATACAATACCAATGTAAAAGTTCGTAAACCGAAAATCATACACTTAGCTACAAACTGACAAACTAGATTCAATTCAATAACAATTTTGGGTTGGATATTAATTTTCTAACCTATTTGCTAACCAACTATGGATCTTTTCAAACGTATGTGTGGGAACCATATATAGGAGCAGAGCCGTCGCCAAGATTTGAAGGGCTACAAGCGGAAAAAAAAATTTGGGCCACTTTATCAAACGCAAAAATGGGAAAAAAAATAAAAATAAAAACAATTATGCAGTTTCCTGGGCTTCATCCCAGAAACTATAGGGTGCAACACTGATAGTAAACCACTAGACTAAAGAGAGATTTTACATTTGAGGGCCGAAAAATGTATATAAAATAAAGGGCCACAAGCTTGAGCTTCATGAGCCTGTCCCAAGGCCGGCTCTGTATAGGAGCTTCAACATTAGTAATCAAGTGCAGCTCCAACCCAAACTTACCACATATGGACCAAAGACTTGAACGCATTCAATGCTCAACCCCAACAACAACTATCTTATGATTTGGTGCATCTTAAAGGTGTTAATAAGCCATGGACTCATCTAGGAGCTGTCAAGAGATACAAAAACCTACACGTTATATCAAAAGACAATCCCTATATCTCATTCATTGTTTTCATTTTTTTCTGTTTTTAGTTTTTAGACATTTACAAAGTTCTAAAAATTTGAGTCTATAGAAGCCAATCAAACTACCTACTACTCAACAAATAATAACAAGGCTTTTAACGTGAGTTTTTGTGTGGGTCAACATCATTTATAAACTGACGACTCCAATAATATGGTGTCGATTTAGTTTACTGAAGTAAAAAAAATTACATCATCTATTTTATTGGAAACATTGTTGGCAAAAACCGACAGTAATATCTGTCTGATTATCATCAGTGCATGCAACTATTATTTTTTCCTGTTAAATTATGGGTAATTTTTTTATACATACCACTAAAAGAAGTATTTGTTTAAAAAAATACCAATATATGTTATTTTATTTTCTAAAAAAACTCACTAAAACACAATTTTCCAAAAATACTACAAAAGCAAAACTAGAATTTTTTAACATTCAAAATTAAAATCTTAGTCTTAAACACTAAACTATATCCTTAAACACTATACCCTAAATATAAAAATCAACACAAACCTAAAAAGTAAATTCTAAACCTTTAAAAATCAAATTTTTTTTTATATTTTTGATATTTTTGGAAATATAAAATTAAGTGATATTTTTTTGGAAAAATAAAAATGAAAGTGTGATATTTTTGGAGTGTTAATTTACGTTAAAAATTTAAATAATAGATAAAAATAAAAAATAATATCAGTAGGAAAACGATATGTACGTAGACATAGAGTATCTAAAATGTATATTAAAAATATGTTTAAGTATATATTAAAAGATGTTTAAAAACACCCATATATAAATATGACTATTGTAGGTGGTCTAGTTAAAAGAACGTGAGAGTACGTATGGTTAAAAACACCCATCTATGTTTTTGTCGGCGTCTTCTATGTAGATTGTGTTTTCACAGATGAGGTAAGGCTCATCAATAAACAATTCATATATACTTTGCCTTCATGAAATTATTCTTATCTAGGTTCTCGACAACTTTTTATATAAATAATTTTGTATGTTAAGTCAAAGAGTGTGTGTGTTAAGTTAAGTAGAGTTTCACACTTTCGTTTTGTTAAGGTTCACAATAAAAAAAGAGTTACAACTTTGAATTCTCTTTAAACCTATTGTTAATAAAACATTAACTAATCGTTAATAACTTAATTGGTAAAAAATTATAATAAAAATTTAGAAATCGTCGATTCAAATAACGTTGAAGACGAAATTATATAACATGCTTAATTTTGGTATGAAAAGTTATATGTATGGATTTTGACCTAGAACTTAATAGTTATTAAAACAAAACAAAAAAAAAAAAAAAAAAAACTTTCAAGATAAAAGAGCCCACGAGTTGTCCTTTTTGGACCAAGCATTCAAAGCGTATTACAAATCTCTTTATCATTTTTTTCCTACATTTTCAAAATCCTAAAATTCGAATCTATAGAAGCCAATCAAGCTACCTACTCTTCATACAACAAGACTTCTCTACAAAGCCGACTACGTGTATCAAAGACAATTCCTTTAATATTTCTCATTCATGATTTTAATTTATTTCTATTTTTCACAAAATCCTAAAATTTCAAGTCTATATAAGCCAATCAAACTACCTACTCTACATGCTTTTTATCTCAATTTTTATGGGGTCAACTAACCCTTTTAAGTAATGTCAAAAAATCCTAGTGTCACTTTTTATTTTGTTGAAAACATTTGATTACCATTTACGCAATTATTTTTTGTTAAACGAAATAAAATTGTGACAAAGAAAAATACTCCGTATAAAACAAGAATGGATTTAGGGTAAATTAAAAGAAATAAATAAGAGGCTAAACATAATTGGAGAAAACAAATATGAAGTTAGATGATTGGTAAAATATTACACCAAAAAGCTTATTAGAACTTTGGTCTGTTTAACGTGAAAACATGTCTCATGAAGTGTGATTTAGTTCCAACGTAATCTGATTCGTTATGTTTGTAGCGCTAATTACTCGATTATAGACATTTCTTAATAGAGAAAGAGTCAATTATCAAAAAGCTTATAATATTCAAACTCTTACTAATTCAGTTTTATCTTTAATTATGTCAAAATTAAATTTGTAAATTATGTAAAAATGAATCTCTTCTTTGTCGAAAACGAGGGGTTGATTTATGATATAAATTTGAGGTTACAACTCTCGTGTCGTGTCACATATCACATATGCACCACCTACGCATATTAAACCTTTGAAATATCTCTTAAAGGATACAACCCTCGTGTCCTACTTTTTTTTTTTTTTTTTAAACCCTTTAACAAAACAAAAAAGTACTATTATTTTTGAAATGGATACTATAATAACCAAAAAAATTGTCATTCATGATTTTTACTAAAAGTGATTTCCTTAAATTTAGGGAAACTAGTTTTTATCAGATTTTAACAATTACTTCCTAGAATCTAAAAACCATTTTTTCAGCTTTCTAACAATATTACGTGACATTTTCTTATTGATTATTAACTTTTATTTTTTTCATATAAAACCAAAAACTAAACAAATTACCATTCAAGATTTTACAAAAACTAAAATCTACAGCAAAAATCAAAAACTAAAAAACTAAAAACCAAAAGCCAAAAACCAAAAACCAAAAGCTAAACTCATTTAAAAACTACAAAACATTCATGGCCTAAAAGTTAAAACCTATTTAAAAACTACTAAACATTCATGGCCTCGGATTGTCAATTTCAAACAATATTAAATGGAAACATACCATCAGCAACAAAGGTAAGAAGGAATAATAATCTATATTTATAAAAATTTATTTAATCAATAAATCTTATTAATTTATTATTAAAATATTAATAGGAAAATGGAGAACTATTACAAAAAAAAATTTACAAAATACGTTGTGGAAATTGTAATGCTTGGGTTTTGTAATTTGAAAGTTCTGAACAAAATCTTGTAGTTGTAAGCACCTAACCTTAGGTTTTGAAGGCTAGCCTTAATTTGGGTTGCTCGTGGCAACAACGCTGAAGATTCCATCTCTTATGAGTTGAAGCAATTATGCAAATATCCCAGCTTTGTTCGAAATCGATGGTTCTTTCTAAATATCTTCTTATAGTGTTTCATTTGTTTTCCTCCTTGTTTTCTGTTTGTGTTGTGTTGTGTTGTATTTTTGGTGGTTTTGTAGTTTGATTTTTTTCCCTTTTCGTATTTTCTCTGTAATTTTATCAAAATTTTCAAAAATGGTATTCACATTGTTACCAATATTCTTATCGTCTTCAAAATGGGAACGACCGCTACAAAAAAAACCCCAACCAAAGTGGGAACGACCGCTATTTCCAGAAACTTATGTTGGATGAATGTTTGTACATGTTACTAACAGAACTCATTTCTGTTTTCTAATAAGCTGTTATATCGCTTATATGATAATAGTTAGCTAGATACATATATAGAAAGACTTACGATAAAGAGTAAAGACACATAAATAAAAGAAACAAAAAACGTTACAAAATTGTGATTAAAAATTACAAAGAAATAGTTATAATATTTTGTTAAAAATGAATTCCCCAACGATATCGCGGAGTTTCGTATTATAGTAATAATAACAAATTACACAATTATATTGCTCTATACTCTCCTTTTGGACGTACGTACGTACGTGTTAAGCCTAGAACCTCATATATGTTTCTTTTTCTTTTTCTAAAAAACCTTGGTGTAATAATAATGATCATTTCTTATCATTTATTTATTATGTATCTTCCCCTATATAAATCCCAACGACCTTCTCCTGTCGATCAGCATCTAAACATATCCCTATTGAGTCCGGCAAAGCCAAAAAGAGAGAGACCGAACAAACCATGAACGGAACAACCATGAACGGCAAGAAAGACCAACACACATCTCCACAGTCTCTCCTAACCGAGACAAACACTATCAACCTCAAGAAAGACCAATACACATCTCCACCGTCTCTCCTAACCGAGACAAACACTATCAACGGCAAGAAAGACCAACACACATCTCCACCGTCTAGTCTAACCGAGAAGCTACCTGTCATTGATCTAAGCGATCCGAATGAGGAGCTAATAACAAACCAACTGGTGAAAGCGAGCGAAGAGTGGGGGATTTTTCAGGTGGTTAACCATGGCATTCCTGCGGAGTTAATGCAGCAGCTTCAAGACTCGGGGAGGAAGTTTTTCGAGTTACCGGTATCCGAAAAGGAAACTGTTAGAAAGCCAGCTGACTCCACAGATATGGAAGGTTACTTCACCAAAGATCCAAAAAATTTCAAGGCTTGGGGAGATCATCTGCTTCATAAAATCTCCCCACCATCGTCTGTCAACTATAGATATTGGCCTAAGAATCCTTCAGATTACAGGTAATGAACATGATTTCCAAGTCCATATAGAACTCGAGATCCTGTATAAATACAGAAATTCGCTCAGATACCACATTTTAAGTTTTTTTTTTTTTCCAAAAATACCACAATTTGTGTAAGGCACATGATTTAGAATTCCAAAAAACTCGATGTCCTATATAAGTTTTTATGAGAAATTCCCTAAGATAGCATGATGTAAGTTTTTCTTCCAAAATACCACTTTTTGTTTTTTAGTCCAAATATATCACAAAAGTTTTATTTTTCCAAAAATACCATAAACATAAAAATTTGAATTTTGAAGTTGTAGAATTATTTTTTTTATGTTTGTGTTGACTATTTACATTTAGAGTATAGTTTTTAGGGACAGAGTTTAGTGTTTAGGATTTAGAAATTAGTTTTGAATATTAAAAATTTAAGTTTTAGTTTTGTTGTATTTTCGGAAAAAAATTGTATTTTAGTGATATTTTTAGAAAATAAACTTCATGATAGTAATTTTGGAGAATTCCACTAAGTTTATATATAAATCCAATGTAATGTTATGTAAATACTAGTTAACATAAAAACTTGACGATGGTTATATAGGGAGGTGACGGAGGAGTACACAAGGAATGTTAAGAAGCTAACGGAGAAGATTAATGGTTACTTATCAAAGGGGTTAGGGTTAAGGCGTGAGGCTTTGACAGAAGGTATAGGTGGCGATACAGCAGTGTATTTGTTAAGGGTCAATTACTATCCGCCGACATCGGATTCAGTTCTCGGAGCACCGCCGCACACAGATTTCTGCGCAATCACACTTTTCATCCCCGACGAGGTTCCAGGGTTTCAAGTGTTCAAGGATGACCACTGGATCGATGTTGAGTATACCAAGTCATCAGTCCTTGTCCTCATCGGTGATCAGTTCATGGTCAGTGTTTGTGTTTGTGTTTGTGTTTTTGGAAATGTTTTTGTGTGTTCTGCTTACAATGTGTGAAAACTGGATGCAGAGGATGAGCAACGGGAGGTACAAGAACGTGTTACACAGATCAGTACAGAACAAGGAAAAGACAAGAATGTCGTGGCCCATTTTCGTAGAGCCTAATCATAGTTTGGTCATTGGACCTTTGCCTGAGCTCACGGGAGACAAGAATCCTCCCAAGTTTGAGTCTTCAACTTTCAAAGAGTACGTACACCAAATGGTCCAAAACCTTCTTCGGGCATCGTAAAGGATTGGCACCTCACTACTACAATCGAGTTTCATATTTTTATATAAGTAATTATGTATGCTAAGTAAAAGTTGTGTGTGTTATAAGTTAAGTAGTTTCTCTTTGTTAAGGGTCACAATAAAGAAGAGTCACAACTCTTCTATTTAAACCTGTTGTTGTAATGTGGAAACACAAGTCGTTGGTTGTCACTTTCTATCTAATAATTATATAGATGTTTCTTTTTTATACTACCTTATACATAATGGTCAAAATTTTGTATGAAATGTAAAATTATATTCAATAAAAAAAAAAACATGTTTACATTGAATGCATCTTTTTTCTAAACACAAACTGAAAGGAGAAAACATAAAAAAATATTTCAGTCTCGTCAAAGCAAACTATTCTCGCATAGCGCCCTCAAGTTTACGCGGCGATTTGAAAGATGAGAGTCGGTTGCAGACCGAAGTGTCGATGTTCTTAAGTAGTTGCGATGCTGGTAGAGAACTGTTTTTTTTTTGTTATTGGTTTTATTGTTAAGTTAATATATATATGACTAATACAATACATAATTTTTGTCATTCATTACATGATCAATACAAAAATGTAGTTCAAATTGCACATGCACTCATTTGAAACCTAACCAAGAAAACCTAACGGGGAAAACAATAATTAAAGGGAAACTCGTTTTTATAAATACATTACATGAAAAGTTTGAAATGACATGATTCAATACGATGAACGTAACTTCTTTCGTCTGAAGTGTCTTAGTAAATATGTTTGAAAAGTCTTCACTTGAACTAAAATTTGTACACGTTCATCACCATTCTTTTATTGGTTGTGAGTCTCGCAAGTGGCTCATATGTATCATTATCTTTGTTTCTCACCATCTCATCAATGGATACCAAAGACTGTAAATAATAATAATATTTCATCATTGAAATCACAACATTTCTTCTCATGTATCTATCTTTCGCGTATTCTTTATTATTTCGCTGAAAATCGTTCGTGGAAAAAACCAATGGGACAAAAACTATGATAACGAAAAAGAGTACAACCACGCACATTATGATTATATTCAAAATGTACATTATGATCATATATATTCTTAGTAATAGTTATAAACAGAGGTTTAGTGAACAACTTATGCGATTAAGATATATTTGAATCTATATCTTTTACATCCCTTTCATATATAGAAAATTTGTTATTCGTTTATTTGAACTTCATTTTTAGATCATTTAGTTATTATGATTTTTTCTCTTTATATAAAATCCCAACAAATCTTTCCCAGTCCATCAGCGTCCTAAAAAATTCCTATTGTGTTCGGAAAAACCAAAGAGAGAGAGAGATAGAGTAAAAAACCATGACCAGAAAGAGACCAACACACATGATCTTTACTGTCACACAAATTTGTGGACTTCCCACTTACCCTGATTTGGACATACACAAGTCCTTTGGATATTTCAGACCAAACCAAGAAGATTTTAGCTACAATCTTATGAGAGGCACATGTAAAATTGGAGTCAGTACCGATCTTAGGTTGGGACTTGGGAGATATTAATTTTCCATATCAACTTTTACCTGACTTGCATATGTGAAGTTTTTCAAGTATGGATCTTTTCAAACGTATGTGTGGGAACCAAAAGAATTTCTATATGCAACTAGGGGGTCTTAAAATAGTAATCAATTGTAGCAGTGACCATTGGGTCAAGTGGATCCAATCCTAAACTTACTATATATGGACCCGGGGCATGAGCACATTCAATGCCAAAACCCAACAACTATCTTATATGATTTGGTGAGTCTTAATGTGTTATTAGGAGGTTAATAAGCCATGGACTCATCTAGAATATGTCAAGATACAAGAGCCCATGAGTTGTCCTTTTCGGACCAAGCATTCAAATTCGAGCTATATAAGCCATTCAAACTACCTACTCAACATATAATAACAAGAGTTTTTACATCAGTTTTTTATGTGGGTCGAATTTATTTTTAGCATATAGAAACATACAACAACCTATGGTTTTTTATATATTAAATATTAGTAATTAAATATTTAATAAAACAACTTTTGTTTCCATCAAACTCGAAAAATACTTGGGTGAACTACTCTTGTCCCCCCCTCTTAATTAGCCAATCAAAATACAGTAATACGCCAAGTCCTTTTCTATTTTAAAAATAAATCAAATTTAAATTCAGAAAATAAAAAAAATTAGAAAAACAAATTATGTAGGATTTTTATTAAAGAAATTATATCACGGTTTATGTTTATAAACGAGGTTTTGAATGCTTGGAACGACTAAGTATTATTAACTCGTTTCTTTTGGTATGGAGTCAATCAAATTCTAGTACATTTGGTAGTCCACTTCCTCCACAAAGAAAAATTGGGCCTATGGACCTATAAAGGTACATTTGTGTAAATTGGGCCTTATATTGCTATTTGTTAACTCATGTTTTAATTTGGATTCTATTTCATAAAGGAAATCTAAAAACTGTTATTGAATTTTATTAGAATGTTGGAATATCCTGTGTCGATGGACACCAACTTTTGCATGGTATGGGTTAACTTGTTTCTGGCAAGTGTTTGTCGAAAAAGCTTAAACGGCTGATGGAAGCCGAAGGATGGTCTGCAGTTCGGGTTGTTGGGCTGCGGAATGGTCTATTCCAACTAATCTATCTTGTTACTTGATCGCTTAGCGGTGGTTGATTGTGCGACTAAGTACCAAGATGAGTTGGTGTTTAAACATGTTTAAATGAAGCTTTTTGGAAAAGATGGAGTCAAGTGGCTTGATCGGACGGTTCAAATAGTGGATTTAGTGGAGGAGGAAACAGAGTCTACGAAAGGTCGACGAGCTTGTGAAGTTAAGTACATTCGTATAGTTGTGGTTGTCGATGCGTAGTATGGATTAGTTGGATCTAGCTTGTTTTGTGGAAGCTTATATAAGAAGTTGAATTGACGCCGGTTGTCTCATCAGAATTATGGGGTGATGTGTGATTGATTGCTTTACTTTTTATGTAATGTGTTGTGATTGATGGCCTTGTATGGCTATTTTTGGGAGTTGGGTCGTGGAGAAGTCGACTGGAGTTGGAGTTCTTATTTAGGAAGGATCGATAGAAGGATGTCGAGGGTATCGGTGCCGATCGACACCAGGTGTGTTAATCGTGGATGTACGCGAAGGGTAACGATCGACACCAGAACATGTTTTGGTGATGTTGAGTAGTTGTGTGGACTCACACCAGGGGGTGTCAATCGACACTAGCAGGCTACAGACATTGATTGTGTTCCTTTGTTTCTTAGTTTGCTTTTTGTGCCGTTGATTGTTGATTGTGTCTGTCTTATCGCTCGTATGTCTGGCGAAATCGAAATCGGAGTATCTCTCATGGTAAGAACTAGCCCTTTTGTACATTGTGATAATTAGGGTTATGTGATTTTGCAAATTATGGTTCTTTGATGTAACCTAGGGTTCTTTGTTTTTAGTCAAATAAGAGTTATTTAAATCAATAAGCATGATCGAAGAAGATTTTAGGCATAAATTGTTTCATTTGTTTTTAGGCATGATTGAAGACCTAGGTACATGTCAATGGAGTGTTAAGTGTTAAGATTATGTAAATATTGACTTGAGTTTGTATTTTTCTTAAAAGTGTTTGTCAAGCTTTCAAAGTGAAAACACTTATACACAACTTTCAAAATTTAAATTTTTAGAACTTCATTTGAGGTTTTACCAATAGACATGTAAAACTTAATCAAGTTTTTAAATTTCTAAAAAACATTTTTGCATTATTTAAATTGTAAATATGGGAATGCTCTTAGACCACTTCCAATAGGAGACTCTTAAAGCATGTCTATCGGTTAAATCTCACATAGATATCTCAAAATAATATAATATAAATTTTATGTGATTTAATTATTTAATTATTATTTCTATTTATTTAATCCAATAGAAAAGAGACCGCGTGTGAATATGGTCTCTTTGAGTTTCTCAAAACTCTGTTAGTACCGAATCATTTCTTACCTCTTTCATCCAGTATTAAAATATTAAAAAACAACTAGAGAGAAAAGTGAGAGATTTTTTCTAAAAGCATCTTTATCGGCACATTTGTGGGAATATATCTTAATGAATTTATATTATTATTATAAAAGAGAGAAAGATAGAGAGATAGAGAGAAGAAAAATGACTTCCACTCCTGATACACCACGTGACCGTAAGATTTGAGTTTTGGACAAGATCCGAATGCATCCTGACACATCATTGTTTGCTTATTTCCTATTTTTTTTAATCTAAGACTCTTCGAAAGTTTGCCTTGATGTGTATGGTCTAATATCTCTTACTTTAAAACATCGTTTAAAGATTTAAGACACTTGTGGAAGTACGAATGGTTTGATTTTTTATTTTTAACCAAAATTCAATTCAATAATTTAATAATATCAAAATATTAAAATTTTATTTTTAAAAATCCCAAAATAAAAACTTTACTATTAGTGATGGTCCTAGTAATCAAGTGTGGCAGTGACCATCATATAAAATGGATCTTAAAGGTGTTATCAGGAGGTCAATAAGGTGTCAACAAATTGAGATACAAGAGCCCACGAGTTGTTATTTTGGGACCAAACATTTAAATCCTAACGTACGGCTACATTATATGAAAGACAAACCCATTAATATTTCTCATTAAATTGATTCATTTAACAGAATCCTAAAAATTTAAGTCTAAAGAAGCCAATCAAAACTACCGACTATACAAAATAACAAGGTTTTAAACGTGAGTTTTTATGTGGGTCAACGTCATTCAATTACTATAGTGTCGGTTTAGTTATGAGGCGACATAAAAAATCTGTAATCATTTAGAAAATTAACGCTTTAATTAAGGTTAATTAAAAACTTTAGAGTCATTTTTCTTTTATTGGAAACCATGTTAGTAAAAATTTATAGCTTGTATCTGTTTAATTATATTTTTTCTTGTTAAATTAATAAACTCAGACAAACAAAAAAATGTAAGAACAACAAGAGTTAAAATAAACTAAAAATAAATAAAAATAAACATAATTTAATAAGAGACAAAACATAATTGTCCTAAAGAGACTACAAAATCTAAGAAACATGGAGAGCATTGTTGATTGTTTACTCATATATATGTTTTTTATTGGCGTCTTCTACAAATATTGTGTTTTACAAAACTCTATATACTTTGCATGTATGAAGTCATTATTATCTAGTAGGTTCACAACAAGTTTGGGTCCAGATGCAAAGAAGTCTCATCCTAGAGGAGTGTAAGCAACATAACCCACGTGTTGGAGAAAGGATGAAACCTGAAGACGCCGATAAACTGATAAACCAAATTTAATAAAGTGATGTTTTCTATAATACTTCTTATAGTGCCATGCATACAATAGCTAGCAAGGATTCTTCTTTCACAACCTTTGTGTATTAAGATTGAGAAAAAAATAAATAGATAAATGAAATGAAGCTGTTAAAAAAAAAAGATAAATGAAATGAAAAAATTATTTCACAAAAATTGAATAAAAGATAATATGTTTTTTTTTTCTTGAACACCAATGAAGGTTGTGCCATGCATAAACTGATATGCTCTCCTCTAGGGGTATACTTGGTTCACCCTTAGTGGCGAACATACATATTTACCGTTTCTTTACTTAATCAATAAAACTAGAGTAATATTTCATGTCATATTATATTCTAAAAAAAACAAAACTAAAATTATTAATATAAAATAAATCAAGTAAACAAAATTTGTAAACTTTTTAATTACAAAATACCGGTTTGGGTTTTATAAAAAACAGATTATGATTTATATTTTACAATTAAACAAAATTATATTTCGGTTTGGGTTTATAAAGAAAGATTAGGGATTAGTTTTTATAATTAAACGTAATTATATTTTGGTTTGGGTTTATAAATAAACATTAGGGTTTAGATTTTATAACTAAACAAAATTATTTATCGGTTAGAGTTTGTAAAAGAGAATTAGAGTTTAGATTTTACAATTAAACAAAATTATATGTCGATTTGGTTTTATAAAGGAGGATTAGGGTTTAGATTTTACAATATAACTAAACAAAATTATATATCGGTTTGGGTTTATAAAAAATGGTTATATGTATACAAACTTTGTTTCTATAATCTTTTATTTTTATCTTATTTTTATTTAAATTAAAATATGACGTATAGCATATTATTCTGATCTTATTGGTTAAGTTAAGAAGAGTTGAATAGAGTATGTAGGTTCACCACTGAAATAGTGATCTCAAGTATCCTCCTAGAACCTCCTATATGCATGTTAAGAAAAAAATGAAAAAACAAAAAAAACTTGGTGTAATAGTGATTATTAATTCTTATGTATCTACTCCTATTTAAATCCCAACGATATTGTCCAGCCGATCAGCATCTAAACAAATCCTTATTGTGTCCGGCAAAGCCAAAGAGAGAGAGAGAGCGAACAACCATGAACGTTAAGAAAGACCAACACACATCTCCACAGTCTCTCCTAGCCGAGACGAACACTATCAACCTCAAGAACGACCAAAACACATCTCCAACATCTCTCCTAACTGAGACCATACCTATCAACGTCAAGAAAGACCACCACACATCTCCACCGCCTCTCCTAACCGAGACACTACCTATCATTGATCTAAGCGATCCAAGGGAGGAGATAGTAACAAATAAACTGGTGAAAGCGAGTGAAGAGTGGGGGGTTTTTCAGGTGGTTAACCATGGCATTCCTGCGGAGTTAATGCAGCAGCTTCAAGACTCGGGGAGGAAGTTTTTCGAGTTACCGGTTTCCGAAAAGGAAACTGTCAGAAAGCCAGCTGACTCCACAGATATGGAAGGTTACTTCACCAAGGGTCCAAATATTTTTAAGGATTGGGGAGATCATCTGCTTCACAAAATCTCCCCACCATCGTCTATCAACTATAGATATTGGCCTAAGAATCCTTCAAATTACAGGTAATGAACATGATTCCGACATCCACATATAAAAAGAGAAAATACTATTTTTTTTTTAATAATGAAAGAGGTTCTGGGCCAAAACTCATACATTCCCTCAGATTCGAAACCAGAACATATTATATGGTTTCGTCCCAAACGCTACTCGAACAGGCGACCTCTAAACTTTTGCCAGAGAAAATACTATTAAGTATTACTAAACCAAATATTATAGACAATTATAACACACATTCCACGATTAAAAAAGTACCACTAATTAACATAATTTATAATATTTGAAATAATTTTTTAGAATTAACATACATAAAAACATTTTATCAAGTTCTTACATTCCCCAAGATTATTCTGTCGGCAATATATATATATATTAATAGTTTGATTTTCGAGTTTGGTTTTAGGGAGGTGACGGAGGAGTACACAAGGAATGTTAAGAAGCTAACGGAGAAAATTGTTGGTTACTTATCAAAGGGGTTAGGGTTACGGCGAGAGGCTTTGGCAGAAAGTCTAGGTGGCGATACATCAGTGTATTTGTTGAGAATCAATCACTATCCGCCGTCGGAGTCATCAGTCATTGGAGCACCACCGCACACAGATATATGTGCAATCACACTTTTCATCACCGACGAGGTTCCAGGGCTTCAAGTGTTCAAGGACAACCACTGGCTCGATGTTGAGTATATCAACTCAGCCATCCTTGTCTTCATCGGTGATCAGTTCATGGTCCGTTTTGTGTTTTTTTGAACATTCAAAAGACTTTGGAAATGTTTTTGTGTTTGGTTTTTTTGCTTACAGTTTGTGTGAAATTTGGATGCAGAGGATGAGCAACGGGAGGTACAAGAACGTGTTACATAGATCAGTATTGAATAAGGAAAGGACTAGAATGTCGTGGCCTGTTTTCGTAGAGCCTAATCATGATTTGGTCGTTGGACCTTTGCCTGAGCTCACGGGAGACGAGAATCCTCCAAAGTTTGAGTCTTTAACTTTTCCAGACTACGTAAAACGTAAGATCGAAATCCTTCTTCGTGATTGATGGCACCTCACTTACTACAACTTCAATTATGAACATGTGTTGTGACGTTCAAGACTATGCATAGCACTAGCTGTTAGTCAAAAGGGTGTGTGTGTTAAGTTTAGTAGTTTCGTTTTGTTAAGAGTCACAATAAAGAAGAGTCACAGCTCTTGACTTCAAGTCTGTTGTATTCTATTTAAGTAGTTTCGTTTCGTTAAGGGTCACAATAAAGAAGAGAGTCACAACTCTTGACTTTCAAGTCTGTTGTATTCTATATAAACCTGTTGTTGTAATGTCGAAACGCCACAAGTCGTTGGTTTTCACTTTCTATTTAATAAAACAAATGTTTGTGTTTTTTATACATTGTCGAAATAAAGTAAATGATCCAAAACCCTAATGGACCATGGACATCAACATAAGACATAGTATTATTATTTATTAACATGACAATATGAAAATATAGTCTAAATTATGCACCTTCACTCGGACGACGTAGACGTGCATATACGAGCGGAACCAGAGGAACATCTACATCAACAAGAGGGTCTAATCCTACTTCTTGACCATTGGGACAAAGGCCCAAGAAGAAGGAACCTCTTATATGTTACTTTAAAACAAAACTGTGGTGTAATAATGATAATTTCTTTCATTTATTTATTATGAATTACATAATTTTCAAGATCATCATGGAGTGTTGTCAATAGTGAATCTAATAGGATCGAAAGAAAATTTCCATAGTAAAATTATCTTAGTAACAATTCTCATAATCTGCAATAATTAATAAATCTAAAAACGATAAAAAAAAAACAATATAAAAAAATGAATTTAAAATAAATTAAAAGAAATAAAAAATGAATAAGAGGCAAGATTTAACTGTCTTAAGAAAATACAATATACAATAAAGAAAATGAAAAGTATGTTTTAATGTGCGTCTTCTACGTAGATAGTATTTCCACAGCCGGGTTAAGGCTCATCACTAAGCAAGTAATACAAAAATCCTATATACTTTGCTTTTCTGAAGTCATTCTTATTTAGGTTCTCAACAAGCTTGGATCAAGATTCGAATAAACCTTGTTCCAAGTGACTGTAAGCAACAAACCCAATCCCAAGTTTTCGATATTGCACCAAAAAGAATAGAATAAAATACAAATACATACATATCTAAATGATTTCTTCACGTCAGTCGAGAAATCGATAACTCGTTTATTTACCTAAAATCTTGTAAATATATATTATTTGAATTTCATAAGTGAAAGTTTAACACTAAGTTTTTATATAATTAACTATAATTCCAACATTAATTCATTACGCATATGATATGAGCCATCGTCATCTCACTTTTTTTTTGTATTTTCCAAAGATCTATCGATTATTGTAGTTTTGGGCCAAAGTGTTTGACATTATTATGTGCCTCGGTCCTACCATTCAAATCAAAATCGGACTTATTTCACTCCATTATTAAACCCGACCCGACCGACCCGACCCGACCGACCCGACCGGACCCGAATTTGTAGATTACGTTTCTATCCCCACGAGAAGAAAAAGAAGAAACGACACACCACCATAGTGGCCACCACTGCTCACTCTCTTTTCTCTATCTCTCTAAAATTTCTTCACTGCGTCAATGGCGACTCAAGGTCAGGTTATCACATGCAAAGGTATCCACATCTCTTTCTCTTTGATTTATAGTGTTTCGATCTAGATTTCATGAATATTTTGGGAACCCTATCTCCGATTGTGAATTTTTTCTGATTTGGAATTTTTCATAGCTGCCGTTGCTTACGAGCCAAACAAGCCTCTGGTCATCGAAGATGTTCAAGTAGCTCCACCTCAGGCTGGTGAGGTTCGGATCAAGATCCTTTACACTGCTCTTTGTCACACCGATGCTTACACTTGGAGCGGCAAGGTTCGTTTCTTCCATAATCTCTCGTCGATTTATCGAATTTTTGAGTGGATTAGGTTGAAACAGTTCAAATGTTTGATTACAGGATCCTGAAGGTCTCTTTCCATGTATCCTCGGTCATGAGGCTGCTGGGTATGTTAATGTTTTTTTTGTTTCAGGATTCGTATTGATCTCTTCAAAGCTTAGAGATTTTTATTTTTATTTTGTTTGTTTTTGGTTTGGAATAGAATTGTTGAGAGTGTTGGTGAAGGAGTAACAGAAGTTCAACCTGGTGATCATGTTATCCCTTGTTATCAAGCTGAGTGTCGTGAATGCAAGTTTTGCAAATCTGGCAAGACTAACCTCTGTGGCAAAGTTCGTTCTGCCACTGGTGTTGGGGTTATGATGAATGACCGCAAGTCACGGTTCTCGGTTAATGGAAAACCTATCTATCACTTCATGGGTACTTCGACGTTTAGTCAGTATACTGTTGTTCATGATGTTAGCGTCGCTAAAATTGATCCCAATGCTCCTTTGGAGAAAGTTTGCCTTCTTGGTTGTGGTGTTCCCACTGGTAAGAGTTAAAATTATGTTGCACCTCTCTCTATTTCTCTCTATTGATTAGTAGTATGCTAAGGTCTTTTGTGATGCTTCAGTTGTAGAGTGTTGCCTGCCCTTTTTGTAACATGAACTGATAAGATTGATCTGTTTAGTTCTTCACCATCCTCTTTATTCGTTACTTCTTTCTTTCCGAGTTTTATGACACGTTGCTGATAGAAATGAAATTTATGGTCCCTAACAGTATGTATATGCGTCTTGTTAGGTCTTGGGGCAGTTTGGAATACTGCAAAAGTAGAACCAGGGTCAAATGTTGCCATCTTTGGACTTGGCACTGTTGGGCTTGCTGTAAGCTACTGCTTCAAACTTCTTAAAGCTTCCATAAATTCATTTCTTCTGAAAGGAAGAGAACCATTGTGGTTAAGTGTTTAATTTTGAATGGATAGGTTGCTGAGGGTGCAAAAACAGCTGGTGCTTCAAGGATCATTGGTATTGATATTGATAGCAAGAAGTATGAAACTGGTAATATTCTTATCTTGATAAAAGTGATAACACAGGCTTGGTCAGTGATCTTGGAAATCTTTTGACTTTTACGCATATAATTGAGTTACTTGATTGGAATTTCAGCAAAGAAGTTTGGAGTGAACGAATTTGTGAACCCAAAGGATCACAACAAGCCAATCCAGGAAGTGATTGTCGAACTCACTGATGGAGGTGTTGACTACAGCTTTGAGTGCATTGGGAATGTCTCTGTGATGAGAGCTGCATTGGAGTGTTGTCACAAGGTAACTCATCCATGTACATTCAGATGAAACTGTTAAAAAAATTGTAGACAAGAGGATGTTGTTAAGAGCTAAAGACAATGACGTTGCAGGGATGGGGAACTTCCGTGATAGTGGGTGTAGCAGCATCAGGACAAGAGATATCAACTCGACCATTTCAACTCGTGACTGGCCGTGTGTGGAAAGGAACAGCTTTTGGTGGTTTCAAGAGTCGAACCCAAGTGCCCTGGCTCGTGGAAAAGTATATGAAAAACGTAAGAAAACAAACTTTTAAACGATTCTTGATATGATCTTCTCTTTCAAACACTTGATTGTTGTGTGTGTTCGAACGAATGCAGGAGATAAAAGTGGATGAATACATAACACACAACTTGAGCTTGGGAGAGATCAACAAGGCTTTTGATCTGTTGCACGAAGGTACTTGCCTTCGTTGTGTCCTCGACACCAGCGAATGATAACACCAATGGTTCTCTCTTCCCTCATCTCTGTGTTCTTGTGACTTTTGTCTTTTATCGGTAATGACAATTTCCTGAGCAATGGACTCAAATCGTGTGTTCTGTCTTATGCCTCAATAAAATTTTCATTTAAGACCGAAAGTATCATTAATAATTGTTTTAAACGTATAAATACTTTTCGAAACTAAAGTATAATAAAATGCATAGTCACTTCATCGGATCATAAGAGAAGAAACGTTCGACACACGAGTAGGTTTAAGTTGTTATGGGCCTGAGAAATAAATTACTATAGGCCCATTAATGAGGTACCGTAAGCCCATTTTTAAAAATTCACCATCTCTCGTCGCCGAACCAATTATTCTTCTCCTTCGGTCCCGTCGGTCCTTCCTCGCCGGATAATTCCACCGGAAGCTTCCTCAACACAGCATCAATCAAAGACCTTAACCTCCACGGCAATCGTTCATTCAACTTCTCAATCTCCGTTCTCGAATCATACACAATCTTCGGTCCCCACTCTCTCATATAACCTAGCCACGGCGGCTCCACCACCACTCCGCCGAGATACTCCGCCGCCACAATCTCATACCTCAAACTCGAATCAACAAACAAATCACTTCTCGCTGTATCGTTTCTTATCCCAATCCCAAGCAAATCAGATCCTTGTAAATACATCCCTGACCTAGCAAAGCTCGCGTGACCATGCTTGGAAGAGTAAACCACAGCTCTGTTACTTCCTTCTACGAATTCAAGATCTTGAGGTTCGATCCATTCGCCGCCACTGTGTTGAGATAAGTAAATAGAGTAGAGCTCGCCGGAGAAGTTACTGATTCTGAGTGTGAAATGTTCCCAATCACAAACGTGTTGACCAGTTTTAGCTAACGAGAGATTCATAAGCCCTAGTTTCAGAGTCGCTGGTCCGTTGAATGGACAAAATATCCAAAACGCAAGATCAGTAAACGTTCCTCCAAATGCTGGCTTAACGTGGACGTAAAGCTTCGAGCTTTCGAGGTCGCCTCGTTTGAGTTTTTCGCGTCTTTGTTGATCGTTTATCGGTAAATCGAGCCAAAACTGCTTATCGTTGGTTCCGCCGTGAGGTAGATTCGAGCCTGTTTCGTCAATAGGTTCGTTGATGATATCAGAGCTGCACAGAACCGCGCCGTTCTTGAAGAACCATGAGACAGAAGAAGGTAGATAGATTTCGTTAGGATGGAAGTAAACTCTCGGACCATAGTGTTGGATCAACGCGTGGATTTGTTCGATGTTTGGCATTGCGTGTAAACTCGAATCGAGGTTTTTCAAACAAGCGATGGTACGGAGATGATCTTCTTCCGGGGACTGAGTTGTGCAGAAGAATGTACCTGTTGATACTCCTTTGCCCCACATCCCTCGGTCCAAAGGTCTTGTTTTCCATATAAACAGAGGAACTTGTAAAGAATCAGATATACCGGTGATGATAACTTTATGCGCTTCACATTGATCGGTCAGATCAGCGCGAACGCATCTAACTTGATCCAATTCAGGTCTTACAGGACTCGTTGTAACCAAAAATCCGATCGGTTTATACCCTTGAGGAGGCTGCGGTAACCAGAAGTAACCGCACGATTCGCTTTGACGTTCTTCGGATAAATCATTTGAGCTCCAGACCAGTGTATAATCAAGTGGCTGCACAAGTGCAGGCTCTCTAAATTCCAAAGACTTGACTTGTCTTGCTACAAGAAGAAAACCTCGTAAGAGATGAGAATCAGAGTGACAGTAATGACCTAAACAGTGGAAACCTTCGGGTAATTTGTCCGGTTTGTAGAAAGAAACACTCTTCTTACTGTCCCGACGAGAGCAGTACCGCCATACGAATTCAAAACTTGTGATCTCAGCGACTTCTATATCACCAAGATTGATTCTTCTTGAACCAAAGCCTTGACCTGATCAATTCAGCTAAACATATAAATCAAATACAGAGAAACAAACAAAAAGTAAAAGACTATGATTGCTTAAGACTTGTAAGGTGGATTGGATCAAATCACATCAAAATCTAATTCAGATCGGAATTCACAGATGATTGGAATCAGAAAAAATACCTGAAGGCCAGTGGGGAATGGAAGAAGGGAGAGAGAAGGTTTCAGGTGTCTTCAATGGTGGTAACTCTCTGAGATTGTTCCAATAAAGACATCTGCTGCATCCAAACATTCCTATCTCTGTCTCTCTGTGATCATCCGATCCGATGGTTCACGAAACTATGAAACACCGACATATATCCATCCAAAAGCATTTTTTGGGGTCCCAATTTCTTTAATCGTCGAGAAAATTCGATTTTGTAATTAATTTATTATTCTATTTTAATTTTATTTTCATTAAACACAAAAAGAAATAACATATTTACACCTATGTAACAGTGTCTTTTGCTATACCTTGACGCATAAGAAACTAAGTATTAAATTATCTTCTTCTTTTTATTATTTGGGGTAAAGAAACTAAAAAAATTCAGAAACTATGGATTTGAATAGTTACGAAAATTGGGATAAACAAATTCGTCAGCGGTTTAGATTGCTTTATTTTTGGAACAAACAATAAACCGGCCCAACTCTATTTAAATGTATAAACAATTTGTGGTTAATCTGTAGGCAAGGTTTATTTTTTATTTTTCTGTAACTAATGAATGATAAATAAAAAACGATTTAATCCACGAAAAATATATTTTTTTGCTTCAACCACGGCTTTATTAACTTTAATACGATGATTACCTTATGCGACAGAATAATTCAGTCACCTTTCTTAAAGCTAATAAAGCTGATGTCTGTAGAATAAACAACACAATTGAAGTTTGGAATTCAATCCAACGAGGAAACAAAAAAATATTGGAAAATGTTACACAACTAAAGCCATTCCCAAAGGGAGGCTAACAGTTTTCAAAAGCCCTAAATGGCTTAAAATCTGACTAAATGAAAAAACATATATAAACCCAAAATCTTTGTTTCCTTTGAGCCATAAAACCAAACCCAACCAAAAACAAAAATATTACAACTACATCTTCGGTAGATAGAGGAAGAAGAACCGACTCATCTTTCATTCTTGGTTGCACTAAAACTTATAAGAGATTCCTCCTCTCTTTTTTTTTTTGTTTCTCCTTAACGACCACCACGGTAGTAACCGTTACCTCTCGGCCTGTAGTCACTTCCATCCTGGTTTCCTCTGCCTGAACCACGGGCACCAAACCTGCCTCGTGTTGCTTCAGTTGGGTAACCACCCCTTCCACGTCCTCCTCTTCCTGTTCATTCAATAGAAATCAGTCAGGTATGAGTTTCATGTGCCAAACTTTCATTCTTATGAGAAATTTGTTGGGCACAAGAGCGTTGTTACAAAGGAAGACTTACTTGCTCCGCGAACACCGGCAGGATTGGGTCTTCGTTCCTCAATGTATACTTGTCTTCCACCCAAGTATATAGGAGAAGCCTATAATATTATTACACAAATGGAAACAGATGAGAACAAATGTAAATTGGGAACAGATGAGGACAATTAATCTAGTGAGGTAACTGTGGAATAGAATCTAGACCTTAATGGCATTCTCCACAGAAGTCATTTCCTCAAACTCAACAAATGCATAGCAAACGCCCATAACATCCTGCATGTTAGGTTGTGTAAGATTGTTAGCTTTGGATCCTCATATCACTTAAGACAAACATAAACAAATAGCAATGAAACGAGGAAATGAAGATTATTACCTTGCGGGTTCTGAGGAAAACACCATCAGGCTTGATTGTACCAAAGTTCTTAAACTCTTCCTCGATTTCAGAAGCAGATATGTCGGAAGGCAAATTCCTAACGTACACTGATTTGAACTCAACTGAAACGAGGCAAACCAGAGAAAAAATGAATACACAATTCCAAAATGACGAATAAAAGCAGATTGCAGCACATCCTAGTAATCTAATTCACTTTTGCAACCATCTACACACTTGCGTGTGATTTTGAGTATATAAGAAGGTTCAAATCTTTTACTCGTCCAAACTATTAAACAACTTACAGTCTTCAAAACCGGAGCCATCTTCCGCGTCTGCACCATAGTCAGTAACATAAGGAGCAGATGCGTTGGATTGCTGAACAGGGGCAAGAGGTGCAGCCTGCTGGGGGGAAGGAGTCCGCAGTGGCTGATCCCATTCATTAAGATCTTGAGAGTTCTTGTTATATGATGGCTGCGAAGGAGCAATAGGTACGGGTGCTGCTTCCTTTGCAACCTTTAACTGAGGATAAGAGAAATCAGCACATCTTCGATTAAAAAGCTAATTTTCTATAACTTAACCAAGGCAATACCAAAGTGAGGTACAAATGAAAACTGAATTATAACAAGATTTTTATCTTTTCGAAAGCGAGTCTATAGTCTACTATTGAGAGATTCCCATAACACAAATATAAGTGAACACAGCAAGATATGTGCTTCCAAGTTGTTATTTTCAATAGATATGTTGTTTTGTTACTATGCTGAACAACTAAACATGACCATTTGAGAGTGTATACTTACAATGGAAGCATAACTCATCTTTGACTTTTCACCAACAGGTTCCTCTGGTGGTGCAGCCCGATGTTCATGTACCACCTCAACTGCAACTTCTTCCCTAGGTGTTTCCTCAATCGCAACTTCATCCACATAGTCTTCTTGCTGAGGTTGATGTTGGTCCTCTTGCAGACTGTACTTGTCAACAAGATCATCCTTAATTTGGACTGCATTCACATAATCTCTAGCCTCTTGCTCCAGAACATAGTCAGGAACTGGAAATTCAAACCAGCGATATCAACATAAATAGAAACAAACAGATGAAACTTTAAACCATCTACAACTTGCTTTATCAAGAATTAGCAGCAAACAAACCTTGGGGTTCTGGATGAGGGCTAGGAGGATTGATATGAGCCTCATGCTGATGATAGTAAACAGGTTCCTCATCAACAAACTGAAAGACATCATTGAGAACAAAATAACCCTTCTCCTGAGGAGCAAGAAAAAAGGTCTGCACAAAACTCCTTCTGTTGCTGAATTCCTTGGTTTTCACAGAGCCTGATACCGCAACCAGAACACCACCTTCCCAAGACTCGACTGAATTGATCGTCTTAACTTCAATCGCAGTGAAATTCAGCGACATGACCATGTTGTGGATATGCTACAATCACATAGAAATTGCAAAAAAACTTAATAACTTTCACCAAAGTACAAATCTTTCATCAACTTAAGCTCCACTTAACCACTAGAAGCTAAATAAAGATTGAATCTTGTGAACAAGATTTATATACCAGCAAAGAATTAGCAGTCTCGGTAGCGTCAGCATCGATACGAATAGCTCTACTAGACTCAGAATAAAACTGATGAATAAGATCTGGCTGCTGCTGCAACACTTTATAATACTGCCCAACAAAGTACGAACCCACCTGCAAAAACACACCGATTCAATCAATCAATCACTCAAATCAAACAAAACCCTTAACACCACAAAGAATCAAATCAACGAAACGAAACGAAAAAACTCACCTGCGTCGCTCCAGGATAAGGAGTCGCCATTATTATAACACTAGAATCAGCTTCAAATAACAAAACCCAAGATCTGGGATTTCAAAACAAAAACCCTCAAAGATCGAATCGGCAAAAGAACGTCAATCCCAAAGAACTTGAATTGAGAACACGAAGTCTCTGTGTTTTTATCGAATCGTGTAAAGCAGATCTAAGAATGAAACGAAGAAGGAATTGAGATTTATAGAGGGGTTTACAGAAGAAAAAAGGAAAATGGTAAGAGTGTTTTAGATCTGTGAGAAATGGCAAAAAAAAATAAGAAAATTAAAAAAAAGGGTTTTGTGAACTATAGATAGGGTAAGGGATTTAAGAGGAGGCGCTCTTTATTCCCTTTTTTTATTTTTAAGTATCGAAACTTTCTTTTTTCTTATTGATTTGCCCTATATGTTTTGAATTTGTTCTAAATCAACCCTCGACTTAATTAATTACAGTATCGGGTCTTTGATTTATTTTCCTTCGTGATTTTAACCCCAAAGGTTTCTATATTACAAATGTAACCGCAAAATATGAGATTCACTCTTTTCTTCGTTGCATTTTTTTTAGATTATTTGTTTGTGTGTTACTCATTAGATGTCATAACACTCATTGTTAGATATATAATGTAGTAATGAATTATTGAGTTATATGGTAATGTGTATTACCTTCAATGTTGGCTTAACTATAGCGATGAATAGTGCGACCGTTCCAAGTCTATATAAAAGTATTTCAATGAGGAGTTTTTAGAAAAGTTTAATATTAAAATAACAAAATATATTGTAAAAGTAACAAAGAGAACTAAAATCAATTATTTTACCGCATCTTTAAGAACCTTAAGATCTTGTTTTAGAATTCCAGTTATCAATATGATCTGTTGAAATTTATAAAATTGTTTATAATTAAATTATAAACAAAATCATATCAAATATTTTAAAGAACCCTTTGAAAATGCTCTAAGCGAAGAGAAAAATATAATTTATTTTCTAACAAAAAGAAACTTTACATTGTTGAAAGTTTTTATGGTTTTTGATATGTTTTTTTTGGTCTACTGTGAAAATTTACCCATCAAATTATAAAATGTTTAAATCGATTCTAATTACTTTTGTCGACAATTCTAATTACCTTATGATGTGTTTTTTTGTATGATAAGAGTATGCTAATGCATTCTCCTGTTATTAAGTATCCAATAATTGTATGGGCCGTTTAATTTATTGGGCCTAATGGGCCAATAATGGTAAACAAAACCCCTCTATTGATAGATAGAAAGAAACCCTCGCTACGATCCTCACACTCCGATTCAGCGATTCAGAAAGCTTAACAACAACAGATACCAAAAGCTCTTCTTTAATCAATCAATGGCGGCGAAGAGAGTCGGAGCCGGTAAATCTGGCGGAGGAGAGCCAAACATCTTAGCTAAGATTTCAAACTCTGAGATCGTGTCTCAAGGAAGACGCGCCGCCGGAGACGCCGTCGAAGTATCGAAGAAACTGCTCTGGAGCACAGGAAAAGCTGCGTGGATCGCTGGGACTACGTTTCTCATCCTTGTTGTTCCATTGATCATTGAGATGGATCGTGAGTCACAGCTCAATGAAATTGAGCTTCAGCAGGCGAGTCTCCTCGGAGCTCCACCGTCTCCAATGCAAAGGGGATTGTAAGAACTTTAGGGTTCTCTGTTTTACTAGTTGTTTTTGGAATTCGAATTTCTTATAAGAGTGCGTTTTACACATCGTTGGATTCATAAAAGTTCGAGCTTTTTCTAAGTCTTGTTTTGTTTATCATCTCTATCAGATTGATTATTCTGGTTGTTTCTCTTGATCCACCATCCAATTGAAATCGTTTCTATTGCTATAAATATAGGATCTTGAGGCAATGAAGTTGTGAAGCTTTTGTTTTTACTTCTCTTAATGCTCTAGAGTTCTCAAAACTTGTTGATAAGTTTAGTTAAATTTGGGATCATTAGGCAATGAAGGTCAAGCTTATTGTTTTGGCTCTCTTTAGCTTATTGTAGCGTATTATATCTCTGGAATCCTCGCTTAGAGTTGATATGGTTGATTTTCACTTTGTTTAAATGGCGTTACCTTTAGTAGATTGTGGTGGTTTGCTTCTTCTCATGGTACTTGAGCTATATCGCAAATAGTTAATTTAGTATAGCATCAATAGGCAATGAATTTGAAGTTTTTTTGCCATCGTGGCTTTTAAGAGCGTATCTAATGCTCTGGAATCCTCGCTTAGAGTTCTGAAACTAGTTCATTTTCACTAGATTGTGGTGGTTTGCTTCTTCTTCATGGTATATCGCAAATAGTTAGTTTAGTATAGCATCATTAGGCAATGAATTTGAAGTTTTTTTTGCCGTTGTGGCTTTTAAGAGCGTATCTAATGCACTGGTATCCTCGCTTCGAGTTCTGAAACTAGTTGATTTTCACTTTGTTTGAAAGTCCGGAACCTATAGTAGATGGTGGTGGTCTGCTTCTTTGTTCATGGTACTTGAGCTATATTGCAAGAAATTAGTTAAATTTAGTCTATTTAGGCAAATGAAGTTGTGAGGCTTTACTTCTCTTAGCGTCAAAGTGTGTGATTCAATGCTCTAGAGTTGTGATTCTGGTTGGTTGAGTTGAATTTCACTTTCGTAGAGTTGCTTAATCTCTAATAGACTATTCAAAAATCTTTGGTGGTGCTCTTCTTCTTTGTTCACAGTACTTGAGGTATGGTTTCTGAGTGTTTATACAAGTCTGGGATAGCTCCTACCGATATGTTTGGTGTAATTGCCAAGTATATTTTTGATATCAAACATGTTTTGCAATATATGATTTTATACATGTAGTGAAATGTATAGTTGGATACTGTGAATCTCACCAACTCCAAAGGCTCCAAAGTGAGCAATAACAATTAAAGCTTCACACTCTTTCTCAACGAAAGCGACTAAAACAGGATTATCAAGAAATTGAGGAGTCACGTACACTTGTTTTGCTTCACTAGAAAAAGCTTTCTTGTTGTATAATGCACAAAAAGAAAAAGAAAATAAAAAGAAAAAACTTCTTGTTGTATATTATTTCTCCTATTTCATCAATTTTCTACTTTGATGTTTCATTTTACTTTCATTTGTTTTTTCAATAGTGGGGATGCTTTATATATGATCTACATCATTGGAAAATGGAACAACAAGTACTAATTAATCAGTAAGTTGAGGAATCTCTTTCATCCTTCAAAATTCAATGGTCAATTAAACAAATGACATGATTAGAAGGAGAAATTAGACAAGTGACAAAGACACCAACAAAAAAAAATGACATATATAATCAAACACTAGCATCTTAACAAGAAAACTAAAACTATTTATCCGCTCAAAGCATATACCTTAATTTCAATGTCATAGTAGTTAAGAAAACAATTGATAGTTGTTAAATAAAACCATCCAATTATTGTCCAAAAGTATGCATAAATCACATTTATGTGTATTGTAATTTTTAGGCTCCGAATTGTAACCATACCGCACTACAAAACCGCACCGCAACAGTGATGTAACAATGTCAAAATATCTGTATATACATATATTAAACCGCACCGCACTTCTCCCGCAGTGAAAAACATAATTACCATTCGGAGCCCTATGCAACTTTTTGTAATGCAAATAATTCTGAATATACATTTGGACATGTTACTAAATTCATTTTCTAATTTACCTCAAAAAAATGGTTTTAGTTAAAATAATAATAATAATAATAAAAAGGATAAATAAGAAATGGTAAAAAAATAAAATCAGTGATCATCATATTTACTAGTCTTCTTCTTCATGGCAGATCTCAAAACCAACAAACAAACAATCACAAACCCTAAAACAAAAACTCCTCCCACCGCCAAAGCTATCGTCCTTTCTGTGTGTTGTCTCTTCTCTCCACCTACACACATACACACAATCACCCCATTAATGGCCACAACACAGTCATCAAGAAACAAAAATTTTGAAGCCTCACTCACATGTAACCTGAATGATGTGTCAACATTCAAAAAAAAAAAAATTTGAAATATCTTCTCTTTTCTGTAAAGTAAATCTATTTCCCCACTAAGTATTTTTGTGTGTTTTGTCTTAATATCTTCCACTAGTTTTCGTCCTACCCCCCCCCCCCCATTAGTTTTTGTTCTAATCTACTTGACAATGAAACTACATCAACAGCATATACATTCTTCTACGAGATTCATGTGTTTGTGTTACTATCACCTAATTATTAAAGATTTGATCAATACCAATCCTACAATGTAGCATAAACGTTAAAACTAGTAACTCTTTACCGTAGTTGTAAACAAAAATACCGCGAAAATGGTTACCAATTGGAAAAACCTAAGCGGGTTAACAAAGCCGGAAACAAACGATTCAATAAACACAGAACAATATACAAAAACACTATTGTACCGCTAAAGAGTAAATACCATCGCTACTTCTACCGCGAAAATGGTTACCAATTACAAATAAATAGGCGGGAAAACGATCTATTTCTCCCTGAAAACTAAACGTATCAATCCAGATAGAGCTCGAATTTTGACCCCGATATAAATAGGCGGGTTAACAAAGCCGGAAAAGAAAACGATTCAAAACAAACAAAATACAAAATAGGCTATTGTAAGTTGTAAAACTAAAGAGTAATGGGCTACTTGACTACTTCTAACTATTCCACCATTCTATTTCTACCAATACTCTTTTACAACCGGTAAAACTTAATTTTACCCCAATGTTTTACCAATTTCACCAACTGTATGATATGAGATTAACAAATGTAATATCAAAGAAAGCAAAAATCATAATATTGATTTTAATTTTAATTTTTGTTTACCTGATGAGATTGGTTCTCCTATGCTTGGAACACCTTGAGTGTAATAACTAAAGCTAACGAAACACTTATGAAGATAAACTTGACCAGAGTTCGAGTCACCACACTCACTCTTTGCTTTCTCAAACCCATCTTTCACACATTCTCCACAATCTGAATTTCCCAAACTACCCTCACACTGTCCTAACGCGTACACCGACTCATACTCCCCCGCGTAAAACCCTCCTCCTCCTCCGCCACCACCACCACCGCCGCCGCCGCCGCTTGATCCTGTTTTCACACCGTTCTCCGCCATACCAAACGCCGTATCTCTCTTCCCTGTAAACCCAGGATCGCCGGAATGTTTTCTCCCGCAGACACGAAACAACATCTCCGTACCTGAAGTCTGAGGGAACCCCGAGATTTCGTACCGGAGATAACATCCGGCGAGCTGAACACGAGCCGCCACCATCACATTACCGTCGTGTCCTCCACCGCAGAGTTTAGTGACGAGTTTTGGGATTTTCGATACGCAATCCGAACACTGAGCGGCGTGGAGATCGCCGCGGCACTGGAAAACGCCGATCACGGCGGTGGCGTTATCGGTACCGGAGGTTGTGGAAGCGAAAGAGCTTTGTGCTGACTGAGAAACCAAAGAAGTGAACATGTTTTGAAGATTCTGAGAGATCACACCAGTTGGGTCTGGGTACCTCTGGTTTGCACAACCTTTAAAGATGAGATTTTTATAATCTTCATGATCACCGGAGATTGCAGAGAATGGTAAGAAGAACCAAAAGATCAAAACTTGATTGATTAGTTTCATAATTGAGAGAGACAGAGAGGGTTTCGTAAAATTTTTGTTTTCTTGATTTAAAGTTTGCGTTTTTTTATTTATGTGTTTTGGAAATTAAAGAAAAGTTGTTTGTCTTAAGAAAAAAGGAAATTAAAAAAAGTTTTGCCGTTTTTGTTTTAGTTTTTTGTCTTTTTGAGGATTTAAAGACAAAAGAGAAATCTAATGTGAATTATTAATGTTTAAGAGAAACTGGTTTTGTGGTATGAAACCATGAAAAGGAGTATGTAATGTGTAATACTTTTTCTCTGGATCTTGCTTCAAGGTTAAGATAAAAAGAAAGAAACTTTGAGACGACAAGTGTTTTTAATATTAGATTTGTTTTTGTGACAAATTTGTATTGTATCACAGAATCGAGAAAAATGATTACTGTTACCTTTTTTTTTTGTTTCTGAAATTTAGTCAATAATCTTTAATGGTATTAAAATCTATGACTTTATTGTCTAGGCTATGCCATTCGGTTGACTGTTCGGTTCTGGTTTGGTTATGCTCGGTTAAAATTAGTTCGAATATGGTAATTGTTTGGTTCGGTTCGGTTGTGTTTAGTTACAGTTAGTTGAGGATTTAGGAAGATTACAACCAAGAGTATAACTGATTGAAAATTATAAGAAAAATGGTAAGATAAATTCACAAAACTATGCTATTTTGGGCGGGTTTAGCGGTGACCTCGAATGAGATTTGGAGATCAGTGAAGAATCTATCTTCGGTTCTTCCATGACTCGACTCGATGTATGAGAATATGAGAAATGAAGTGAAGATGAGAGTGTGGATGGCCATATATCGCTGAATCTGAAATTTTCGAAGAAGAATATGCTTTTTATGAAAAAGCATAATACAGTTTATAGATATATATTATGCTTTTATGAATAAGCTTTTTATATATATAGTTTTATATATATATTATGAAATCCAAAAACTGGTGCATATTTGTGTCTTTATAAAGTATAATATATAGTTTATATATATTATATGTATTTATAAATATGCTTTTTATATATATAGTTTTTATATATTATGAAATTCAAAAATTGGTGCATATTTATGTCTTTCTATAGTGTGAGATGTTTAGTAATTTCAAGAGTTTTTTGTTATTCAAAAATTATGGATTTCTTAAAAGAATTAATGCGAAAAAGTCTATGGTTTGCTTAAGACAAATTGTGTACGTGAGAGAGAGAGAAAGATAGAGAGATAGATCACATACCCTTGAATATTTGGAGGACATTGGGAAAGTGATTAAGAGAGATATGTATTCTACAAGGCTACATTTGTCTCTATTGTCTACATCTCCAAGTTGGAGCTATGTTCCTAGAATATAACGAGGGAATGAAAAATCATTCTTGATTTCTCTTACTTATCATTCACTATTTAAGCCGCTCATTACTAAATGCGAATGTTTATACCTATAGTTTTGATGGCATTATTCAGTAGTTGATATATTGAATTATAGTTGACATATCAAACAATGCTCTGGCACAGAAAACAATGTTCAAAAATAAAAGCAAAAATCTCTTATTATACAAATTAAATTTACTTACATCTCAATATTGAAATTAGGTAGCAAAGATCATATCACCACACAAAATTCATTAATGATTACATTGTCTATGTCTTTACCCTATTATTTAAGTTAAACGTCATTAAATGTGAAAGTCTAAACATAAATTTTAGGCATAATTACTCGACACACCCGTAGTTGACATATTAAACTATGTTCAGGCGTAAAGAACAATACTCAAGATTAGCCAAAAAAAACAAAAATGTCTCATCATACAAATTAGGTCTAGTTAGATCCAAATCTCAAAAACATGTATACAAAATAGTTTTAGTTGAGGATTTGGAAAGATTAGAACCAAAAGTACAACAAACTGAAAATTATAAGAAAAAGGGTCAGACAAAATCAAAAACCTATGCCATCCTAGGTTGAGATAGAGAAAATAGAGAGTAAATAGAGAAAGAGAGAGAGAAAAAGAGAGAGAGAGATAGAGAGAGAGAAAGAGAAGAGAGAAGAAGAGAAGATAGAAAGACAACATAAACAAAAAGAAAGAGAGAGAAAGAGCGTACATACCCTTGAAAATTTTGAGAAAATTGGGAAAGTGATTAAGTGAGTCATGTATTTCACAAGCTTACATTTATCTCTATTGTCTCCAACTCAAAGGTGAGGAGCTATGTTCCCTAAACATGACGAAGGGATGAAAAATCATTCTTGAGTTCTCTAACTTATCATTCGCTATTTAAGTCGCACATCACTAAATGCGAATGTTTATACCTAAAGTTTTGATGGCATTATTCAGTAGTTGATATATTGAATTATAGTTGACCTATCAAACAATGTTCACGCGCAGAAAACAATGTTCTAAAATAAAAGCAAAAAAACTCTTATCATACAAATTAAATTTACTTACAACTCAATATTAAAATTAGGTAGCGAAAATCATATCACCACACACAATTCATTAATGATTACATTGTCTATGTCTTTAGCCTATTATTTAAGTTGAACGTCATTAAATGTGAAAGTATAAACATAAGTTGTAGGCGTAATTACTTGGTACTCGACACAACCGTAGTTGACATATTAAACTATGTTCAGGCGTAGAGAACAATACTCAAGATTAGCAAAAAAAAAAACAAAAATGTCTTATCATACAAATTAGATCTAGTTAGATCCAAATCTAGAAAACATGTATACAAAATAGTTTTAGTTGAGGATTTGGAAAGATAAGAACCAAAAGTACAACAAACTGAAAATTATAAGAAAAAAGGTCAAACAAAATCAAAAACCTATGCCATCATAGGCTGGTTAGCGGTGACCTCGAGTGAGGTTTGGAGATTAGTGAAGAGTCTATTTTTGATTCCTCCATGGCTCGACTCGATGTATGAGAATATGAGAAGTGAAGATAAAAGGAGAGTGTGGATGTCTCTCTCTCTATATATATATATATCATTGAATTTGAAATTCTCGAAGAGGGATATGCTTTTTGATGAGCAAAAATTGGTGCATATTTGTTTATTTACATAGTATGTTATCTTTAGCAATTTCAAAAGTTTTTTTCTTGTTCCAAAAATTATGCCCTTCTTAAAAATATAATACGAGAAAGTTTATGGTTCGATTAAGACAAATTGTGTGTGTGTCTGTGTGTGTGTAAGAGAGAGAGAGAGAGAGATATATATATATATATATATATATATATTACATACCATTGAAGATTTGGAGGAAATTAAGAAATTGATTAAATGAGTCATGTATTCCACAATGCTACATTTGTCTTTATTGTCTCCATCTCCAAGTTAAGGAGCTATGTTCCCTGAACATGACGAGAACATGACGAGGGGATGAAAATTCATTTTTGAGTTCTCTTACTTATCATTTACTAGTCAGCCCCACCATACTAAATTCGAATGTTTATGCATATAATTCGGATGACATTATTCAGTAGTGTATATATAGAATTATAGTTGACCTATCAAACTATGCTCACGTGCAGAAAACAATGTTAAAAAATAAAAGCAAAAAAGGTCTTTTGAATCATAAATTTTTCGAAAAGGAATATGCTTTTCGATGAACAAAACTTGGTGCATATTTCGTCTTGATATTGTGTGTGATCTTTGGCAATTTCAAGAATTGTTTTCTTGTTCGAAAATATGGTATTCAGAAAAAATTAATGCGAGAAAGTCTATTGTTTACTTAAGACAAATTGTATGTGTGAGAGAGAGAAGAGAGAAAAATAAAAGAGAGTAAAGAGAGAAAGAGAAGAGAGAAAGAGAACATAAATAAAAAGAAAAAGAAAGAGAGTACATACCCTTCAAGATTTTGAGGAAATTAGGAAAGTGATTAAGTGAGACATGTATTCTACAAGCTTACATTTATCTCTATTGTCTCAAACTCCATGGTGAGGAGCTATGTTCCATGAATACGAAGGGATGAAAAATCATTCTTCAGTTCTCTTACTTATCATTAACTATTTAAGCCCCACATCACTAAATTTGAATGTTTATGCATATAATTCCAATTGCATTATTCAGTAGTGGATATATATAATTATAGTTGACCTATCAAACTATTTTCAGGTGCAGAAAAAATGTTAAAAATAAAAGCAAAAAAGGTCTTTTGAATCATAAATTCTTCGAAGAGGAATATGCTTTTCGATGAACAAAACTTGGTGCATATTTCGTCTTGATATTGTGTGTGATCTTTGGCAATTTCAAGAGTTGTTATCTTGTTCGGAAATATGGTCTTCAGAAAAAATTAATGCGAGAAAGTCTATGGTTCGTTTAAGACAAATTGTGTGTGTGTGAGAGAGAAGAGAGAAAATAGAGAGTAAAGAGAGAAAGAGAGAGATAAAAAGAGAGAGAGATAGAGAGAGAAAGAGATAGAGAGAGAAAGAGAAGAGAGAAAGACAACATAAACAAAAAGAAAGAGTGAGAGAGAGTACATACCCTTGAAGATTTTGAGGAAATTGGAAAGGTGATTAAGTGATTCATGTATTCCACAAGCTTACATTTATCTCTATTGTCTTCAACTCCAAGGTGAGGAGCTATGTTCCCTAAACATGACGAAAGGATGAAAAATCATTATTGAGTTCTCTTACTTATCATTCACTATTTAAGTCACACATCACTAAATGCAAATGTTTATACCTAAAGTTTTGATGGCATTATTCAGTAGTTGATATATTGAATTATAGTTGACCTATCAAACAATGCTCAGGCGCAGAAAACAATGTTCAAAAATAATAACAAAAAGAGACTTATCATACAAATTAGCTTTCTTTAAATCTCAATATTAAAATATGGTATCAAAGATCATATCACCACACACCGTTCATTTAGAATTATCTTATCTATATCCTTAGCCCACTATGTAAGTCGAACATCATTAAATATGAAAGTTTAAATATAAACTTTAGGCGCAATTACTTGGTAGTCGCCACAACCATAGTTGATGTATTTAACTATCTTCAGGAACAAAGAACGATGCTCAATATTAGCCAAAAAAAACAAAATGCCTCATCATACAAATTAGATCTAGTATATCCAAATTTGGAAATATGGTATACAAAATAGATTTAGTCGAGGATTTGGAAAGATTATAACCAAAAGTACAACAAATTGAAAGTTATCAGAAAAATGGTAAGACAAATTCACAAACCTACGCCATCTTGAGCAGGTTTAGCGGTGATCTCGAGTGAGTTTTAGAGATCAATGAATAGTCTAGCTTTGGTTCCTCCATGGCTCGACACGAATGATGAGAAGTGAAGCAAAGAGGAGAGTGTGGATGGCCATAAATCATTGAATCTGTAATTTGTCGAAGAGGATTATGCTGTATAAATCATTGATGAACAAAAATTGGTGTATATAGTTTTTTTCTTGTTAAAAAATTATGACCTTATTAAGAAAATTAATGGGAGAAAGTCTATGGTCCGGTTAAGACAAATTGTGTGTGTGTGCCAAAGAGAGAGAGAGAGAGAGAGAGAGAGAGAGAGAGAGAGAGAGAGAGAGAGAGAGAGAGAGAGAGAGAGAGAGAGAGAGAGAGAGAGAGAGAGAGAGAGAGAGAGAGAGAGAGAGAGAGAGAGAGAGAGAGAGAGAGAGAGAGAGAGAGGATTACCTTATCCATATCTAAAACTCACTACTTAAGTCGAACATCATTATATATGAAAGTCTAAAGATAAATTTTAGACAGAGTTAATTGGTAGTCGACACAACCATGGTTGATTCAGGCGTAAAGAACAATGTTCACAATTAGCAAAAAAACAAAACAAAAATGTCTCATCATACAAATTAGATATAGTTAGATCCTAATTTTCAAGCCATTATACTAACCCTTGCGTGGTAAAAGAAACTTGGATACTTAACAAATTCAAATCTATGCCAATATAAGTGATTAAAAGAGATATTTAACTAGTTTGGTTCGCACCAAAGTTCGTTAAGTATCAAGTTTTAGATTTAAGATTCAAAGTTATTGTTGACGTATATGCTTCTCTTAAGATTTTGAAATCTTGAATAAGGAATCAATCACACTTGTCAGTACAATTAATTAATTTCAAACAATTTTAAAATATTGCTATAATTAATAAATAATTTGCATGCAAAAGCTTTGTCACAACGTGAAAAATCCAAACAGAAGTTGCGCGCAAAATTTCTTTCCATAATAACATAAGAATATAGGTAGCGGGTGAAATCCATTGAATATTAGAATCATTTAAAAAAAAAATCTAACAATCGTCTACGAACTCGAAGTACTTTGTTCATATCTTCTTCTTCTTATTATATAACGTTTAAGTAAAAATTAAGATCTAGAAATAAAATCTATAGGATTATGAATTTATGGTAAGGGGATAGTGCATGTATTGTATATTGACCTTTATGGTAAAAAAGTAAATGTTTTAATGTATTTGACAATATGAGATATTTTCAGATTTGTTTTTCCTTAACTGAATTCTGGATTTTAATTTATTTCCATATATACAAATACTTACATTAAGTAAGTGCATCCTTTCTTTTTTATTTTTTCCTTATTTTCCCCAAAGGTCATAATTGTGCAGGCAGGGTTGACCCGACCTAGTTAAGCCCGGCCCAGTAAGCAGAGAAGAGCGAAGAAATAATTCATCGGGGGTCAAATAAAAGTCACAGACACAGTCCCACTCGAACAAACGAAATTTACACCTGGCACTGTTCTCGCGTGTACTCACGCGCCGACGCAATACTCTACCGTCGACGCCGACATTGTCTCTACGCCGTTCTCCTTCGTCTTCATACGGCCACGATTCTGTACTAAGTAGTCAACTCATACTTTTTCGCTTCACCAAGCTTCCTTTTAAACCCTAACCCTCGCCACATTTCGTCCCTCTCCTGAGTAAGTTCTTCTCAGTTCTCCGGCGAAAGTCTTCTCCTTTTTGAGTCTCATTGTGATCGGAAAGCTCTACTACCTCTCTGAAAGTGAAAACAACGTTTTTGTTAGGGTTTCTTTGTGAGTTTAGTGCTGTAGTGTTGTCTCAAGACGAAAAGGTTTCAACTTTGCTAAAGATTCTCAATTTCTGAGTATTTACTTCTAGGTAGATGTCTGGTTTCTTGGTTTGGAATGTTGTTGATTTGCTCATGTTTTGGGTTTTTTGGTTAAATTTCTTACCTTGTAAATCATGGGTTTTTTGTTTGTTATATTGAGCAAATCTTCATATCTTGTTTCTTTCTACATTTGTTGCAGAAACGATGGCACCTAGTCCTCATATCAGAAAAGCATTTATGGCTATGAAGGCTATGGGAATCAAGGATGCGCAAGTTAAGCCAGTCTTGAAGAACCTTCTCACCCTTTACGATAAAAACTGGGAGTTGATTGCTGAAGACAACTACAGGGTTCTTGCTGATGCTATCTTTGAGAGCCAAGAAGCTCAGGTACCCTTGTTGACTCTTTAATCTACTGGTTTTTGTATATCTGTAACATATTATTTGGTTTGTATTACCTTGACATTCTATATTGATGTAACATATGAAGGCTATTCAAGAAAGCAAAGGAAATACGGCTGACGAAGCTAAAGTAGATGAAGGCTGTGTATGTTCTTTTCTCACAGTCTTTGATTTGTAGTTCAAGTATTGTATTTTTTAATTGCTTTGATATCCGTGCTTTGCGTTCTTGTTTATCCAATCTTTCAGTCCTCAGAAGTTGACAGAGGAAAGAAGAAGCCCCATGAGGTATGCAAACTGAATATCTTTGATGTGTTAAAGAGTAATGTATCTTCATGTTCTTGCATTTACTCAGTTCCTGTTGTGTAATATCAGTCTATCGAGGAAGATGATGAAGCGTTAGCTGAGTCTGATCGCCCTTTAAAGAGGCTGCGACGCAGAGGTGAAGGAGGCTCTGCGTTGACAAGCCCTAGCTTGGGCAGTCCGGCTTTAGAAGAGCCTTCAAATTATGACGGAGAATCTGCTCCGATCCTATTGCCATATCATCCTGTACAACCTGAACATGACCATGATGCTGATGAGGTCATTATTCCTAAAGTCGAGCCCATTGCAAATATGTCTCTCAGTTCTATTCATCCAGGTACTTGTTTTTTTTGTAAATAGCTGTAACTAAATCTTCTTTGGTTTGCTCATTTTGTTGTTATGATGTGTTGAAGCAACTTTCTTCAAAACTGATATATGTCTTGTACGTTTTTTGTAGATTCAGTTGATAGAGGGAACTCTTCAGTTCCCATGCTTGAGATGGCGAAAACAAATGGACATGTGGAAGAAAGGGCTGAGGAAATAGTAAGTACTGCTGATGGTACTACCAGTGACGTTTCTCCTACAACTGTTGGGAGATTTAGTGAGCACAGGCTAGCTGCAACCATAGAAGAACCCTCAGCACTTGAATTAGCTTCTTCTGCTTCAGGCGAGGTGAAGATTAATCTTAGTTTTGCTCCTGCAACTGGAGAGTCAAATCGACGTTTACCTTCTATGGAGGAACTACGAAGAGCAATGGAGGAGAAGTGTCTCCGATCATACAAAATACTGGACCCCAACTTTTCTGTGCTTGGTTTTATGAACGACATCTGTAGCTGCTACCTGGACCTGGCAACAAAGGAAGAAGATTCAGCAAACCAGATGCCAAAAAATATGCCGTTTATCACAACGAACATTGATGCATTGAAGAATTCTGCTGCGAGGATGGCTTTTACTTCTCAAGGGAGTGATGATCATATGCATGATGTTGGAAATGGTGCAGTTGGTGATTCCATGGCTTTGGTAGTTGTTCCCGAATGCCACCTATCTGCGGATGAGTGGAGATTGATAAGCAGCGTCGGGGACATCACTCTAGGGAACGAAACTGTTGAGATTCCTTGGGTGAATGAGGTCAACGACAAGGTTCCTCCAGTTTTTCGCTACATACCCCAAAGCCTGGTGTATCAAGATGCTGCAGTGAAGTTTTCGCTTGGGAATATCAAGGATGACCAATGCTGCTTGTCTTGCTGTGGAGATTGCCTGGCTCCATCGATGGCATGCAGTTGTGCCACTGCATTCAATGGCTTTGCATACACAGTAGATGGCCTCCTACAGGAAGATTTTCTAGAACAGTGTATCGCTGAGGCCCGTGATCCACAGAAACATATGGTGCGGTACTGCAAAGAATGTCCTTTAGAGAAAGCCAAAAATGAAGTAATGCTGGAACCGTGCAAGGGGCATCTAAAGAGGAAGGTCATTAAAGAATGTTGGAGCAAGTGTGGCTGTATGAAGAAATGTGGCAACAGAGTTGTCCAACAGGGCATTCACAACAAGTTGCAGGTCAACACATTCACCTTAACGACCTTTTTTTTTTTACCAACTGGTCCAGTATTTTTATGATCTAAACCTATCTCAGTTTTGATAGAATTTAAACTGATTATGATCATTCTAGCTTGGACTAAACCAGTTGAGAGTTTCTGACGCCTGAATTTTGTTTATGTTTGTTTCATTTTTTTTTTTTTTTTGAATCAGGTGTTTTTCACTCCCAATGGGAGAGGCTGGGGACTCAGAACTCTAGAAAAACTGCCTAAGGGAGCATTTGTCTGTGAGTTTGCTGGAGAGATATTGACCATTCCAGAGTTGTTCCAACGCAATTCTGAGACAGTTACTTCTGCGGTATTATTGGATGCATACTGGGGTTCTGAAGACATTTCAGGGGATGACAAAGCTCTTTGTCTTGAGGGAACGCAGTATGGAAATATCTCCAGGTTCATGAATCACAGGTATAGGGACTCTGAAAATGAGTTTTTTATGAATCTTAGGCATAGAAGCTTATTTGGGAAACTTATAATTTGTTTCCTTCTTAGTTCATCACTTCTAACTGTACTATGTCTATATGTGCAGATGCTTAGATGCAAATTTGATTGAGATACCAGTTCATGTGGAGACTACTGATTTACACTATTATCATGTATGACACAATTCCTTGTTTCCTTTCTACTCCGTTGCTTATAATAGTCTCTTCTGTTTTGTGGAAATAATAGAACGATTAGCTAATCTGTATTTTTTCCAGCTCGCATTCTTCACGACACGAGAGATTGATGCTATGGAGGAACTTACTTGGGTGTGTTAGAAGTTTCTCCACCCACTCTTAACAGATTTGTCTCTTTTAGACATTTTCACAAGTTCGGTTTCAAATGCTGGTTTTTTTTTTGCGGTTCTATCTGAGAAGTTTGAGACTTAACCTGCAGGATTATGGTGTCTTATTCAACGATGATGTGTTTCCTACAAGTCCGTTCCATTGTCGATGTGGTAGCGATTTCTGTCGTGTCAATAAGCAGATAAGCAGTGAGTGATCATCACAAGATTTCTAATTATGGATCTAGTTCCTTAGTCTGACAGTTATCTCGGTTTTTGATACATAAGCCCTTCACAGTTTTTGCAACTAACACTTAGTTTATTAATGGTGCAGAAGGCAAGAATGTGAAGAATAGAGCATGAGAGCTTTGCGCATTGGTAGTTTTTGAAGATATGTGATGGCGCAGTCTCTTTTTTCTTTTTGTGAAGTTAAAAGTTTCCTTTTTTGTCAAACAATCCGACAAGGCATATAAGCAAAGTCGGCCGGTTAATCAAATATGTAGGTAGCTATCGAAGGATAACAAATATTATTATCCTCAAAAACTTAATCGTCTTTTATGATATCAAAACTCATGTGTATATCTTAACTTAGGTTTTAATTGCTTTTGTTTTTGACTTATTGATATATCTCTCAATTTATATACATCATCGTATGGAGGTTAAGTCTTGAAAGTCTATCTCAACTCAAAAAGCTCCTAGGTATATAAGCAAGGATAATACAAAGATCAGTGCTTATTACATTATATAATAATTGGAGCGCTGCTGAGTTATCCTATCTTTGAGTTATGTACAGTTCTCCCCACTTAAACCGTGAGCTGTGCTTCAACGGCTTTACTCACAAACTCTCTGCAATGAGGTCTCAAGAGAGAATCTTGATCGCCAGATGAAGAGATGGCTGGTTGAATTCCACTTGCGTTTAGCGGAAACAGCGTTTTGTAGTATCCATCCATTATAGCAGGAAAGTCACAAGTCGCCGCAACACCAGGAATCTGTTTCGACAAAACAACAACAAATGCAGAAACTTAGATGCACTTCCAATCGCAGAATTTGGGTATTAGAGAGAAGATAGAAAGAAAAGAAACCTGGTAAATGTCACGCAAATAGCCATAGAGATTCGGGTACTCAACAAGCTTCTTCTTGGTGCATTTAAATAGAATGTTGTAAACGGGATCAAAACGAATCAGAGTTGTGAACAGACATACATCAGCCAATGTCAACCTTTCTCCACACAAGTATCTATTACTACCCAAGTGATCCTCAATCTCATCCAAGGTACTAAAGAGCTCATTCACTGCTCCATCATATGCTTCTTGGCTCTGTGCAAACCCACACCTTTCAAAACATCAATGCAAGCAAATCACCACACAATAAAGCCATCAACTTAAGCAACAAAACACATATTGCAGCATCAAGAAGACAAGCTACAAGCAAAAACCGCATCAAATCTGAACAATCCAGTCGATTTCTATAGCATTTGATGTTTCCATAGTTAACTGTCTATAAGCTTTCTTGCTTATAATACTAAAAGAGCTCATTCACTGAACCATCATGCGTTTATTGGCTCAGTGCAAACCCACACCTTCCAAAACATCAATGCAAGCAAATCACCACACAACAAAGCCATCAACTTTAGCAACAACACACATATTGCATCATCAAGAAGACAAACTACAAGCAAAAACCGCATCAAATGTGGAACAATTCACTGGATTACTATAGCTTTTTCGATGTTTCGTTACTTGTAAACACCATTGCTAACTTTCAATAAGCTTTGTGATGATGTTTTCCAACTATACCTGTAAACACCATTGTTAACTTTAGGGTACACAATCTGATTCCAATCTTGGATCTTCTCTTTCAACTCCGGTGGCGAAAGATCCAAATCAGCGTTTCGTGCCACTTCGTTTAAACCCGAATTGAAAAACTCGATAATATCATAGCTTTCGTTACAAACAACATCTTTCTTCCTTGAATCCCACAGCATTGGAACCGTACATCTCCCCTCGTAACCTCCACTTCTCGATTTGTACACTTCCTTAAGATTCCGGCACCGGTTTGCTTTATCCAAACTCGGGATAAGTTGATCCTTATCCTTGATTGGGATATTGTTATCCTTAAATTCCCATGATCCATCTTGGCCAGGCGATGCGATTGAAACCGGAACGGCGTCGTTTAAACCCTTGAGAGCACGGACAATTAGGGTTCGGTGAGCCCATGGACAAGGAAGACCAACGTATAGATGGAGCTCCGAGGAAGCTGCGACGGAAGGGAATTGGGTCGGGTCGAGACGGAATTTGGAAGTGGGTCGGGTGTATGACCCGGATGAATCGGATGGAGCGAGTTGGGTCATCATGAGCTGCCACACAGTGGTCCAAGCTGTTCGAGCGGTGGTGACAAGTAGACCTGGTGGAAGTGATGGTCCCCAAAGTAGCTTTGTTGCGGAGGTGAAGATGCTGGTGGTGGTGGTGCTCGTGCTTGGTTTTGGTGATTGGTGCGACATTCTAGGGCTGACGCGGCGTGGAGTGAAGGAGGGGATGGTTAATTGTGGCGCGAAGCAATTGGCCATGGCTGGGGTTTCTTCCTTTCTCTGTTCAGTTCGGCGAGAAAAGAGAGACGAAGATCTAAAACGATGCGTTTCGTATCTATATGAAGTGGGCTCATTTACGTTTGTTTTAGGCCCAACCGAAAATGAAAAAAATTAGTGAAAAATGTTGAGTATTTAAAAATGAATTATCTAACATTTAGCCTTGAATGTTTTCTATTTATGTGGATTTTTGTTTTAGTTTTTTCAAAAATTTGTATTTTGGTCATCCAAGATTTTAGAAAACTAGTTTTAAAGAGATAATTATCCATTTGATGACAAAAAAAAAGAGAAAATAGAGATAATTATCCATTTGAGAAACTAGTTTTAAAGAGATAATTATCCATTTGATGACAAAAAAAAAGAGAAAAGATCCATTTTTAAAGAAAAACAAAAAATAATTCTTGTATTGGTTTTTTATCTTTTCCTGGTGAGTGTTAATTGTATTTTAGAGAATTTGTTTGAAATGACAACTTAATTTATTGTTTTAGTTTTTCAATTTTACGTTTAAATTTCAAGAACTTTTAATAAAAAACAAAAACCAAATATTTAAACCCAAATATGTTCTAAGATTTCAGGTACTACATTTATGTATTTTTAAAATAATTTGTAATGTATTTATGATTTTAATTCTAATAATTTATTCATGAAATAAAATCTGATATACTCGATCTAGATGATTGATATAAGAAAATGTATATCATTGAAAGTAATTCAAATTTCTCTAGTCTTATCCTCAATTTGAAAATGTATACTAGTGGAAACAGTTATGTTATCCTCAATTTGGAGATAATTGGTTTTCTTACTCCAAACAACTTTTAGCACATTACTAGCAAACTTAAAAAAAAAAAAAAAACACAATTTCATATCAGTTGATCCTTTTAATCATAAGACTCCTTGGATTCATTTTATTATGTGAGTGGTGATATTTTTTAAATAAAACTATAAGCTAGAAAAATTACCATAGTTCAACATATTTTTTTAAAAATAAAATTTCTTAGTGGACAAAATTTTTATTTATTTATTTGCAAGTATTAGATTAAATTGACCTAAAATAGATTTGCACACTAGTTGTACAAATCAACAAAGAATGTTGGAGATTTCAGATTTTCTTATAGATCTTCTATACCTTTACTTGTGTAGTTTTGACTTACTTTGTATTATTGCATATGTATTAGTCGCATTATTTAACATTATTTGATATAAAAAGTGCTTACTTTATGTTATACTAGAACATTATTTCCTCCTCTTTTGCATTATCTTCTTTGAAATATCTAACATAAAACTTTTCCATTTTATGATTCTTTGTTTACCATATCTATACTATTAAAGCTGAAGTACACAATGAATTTACACTATAGTTTCAAAATGAAATAATTATCATTTCTAACTGGGTTAACACGCGGATCTAACTAACTAAACGGATATGTTAATCGGGTTTAGAGATTTAATCTCTATCGTTCATTTTTCAGTTGATAAAAAAAAATTGGTTTTCAATATTAAAGGAAAGATAATTATTACGTTTGATATTTAACTTTATTTGTAAGATACAATGCCTAAAATTTAGCTTAATTGGCAAGATTTTCTTAATTTCAAATATTTTATAAAGATCTTGATCCAAATTTTAAACATTGAGTATTTTAATATTTGTTTTAATAGAAACCATTCCATGTTTTCTTAGTATGGAATAT